GAATGTTATGTTGTTGAATCATAAATTGCTCTTTACAAACCGACTGCAAGATCAATGCTTGGCTGTCAGTGCTGCATCTAACTTCACATTGTCCAGGTCCCACCAGACTGACATTTGATATTTTAATTGATTTGTGCATGTTTTAATAATCCTAATGTCACAAATACATTTCTTGACACTTAAAAACACATAAATGAAAATCGAGTTTGGTTAAATGCAGCATATAATAATGATGCATGTAGGTGAGTATGTCATAGTTTCATACTAAATACCAGGAAAAGGTGTAATACGTTTTCTTCAACACAGAGAGTGGTGATTATGCAAAATGTATATTTTTTTAGCTTTCTACCATGTTATAATGTTGTTCCCCCATTTAAAATATGTGCAGTAGTTTCATTAGCGGGGTGCATGCTGATTCTGTTGTGATAGAGCTCTGAAGGGACTCAGTGTGGAGAGCAAAGGCAGGGGGGCTCAGAGCATCAAAAACAAAAGTGAAACTTATAAAAGATGTTAATACAATGTTTTCAGCTAATAAAGCACTTTCCAAACAATAAAAGGTAACATGGTGATCCAGATATTTGTTAGCAGTTACCCCTTAGACATGGAGCTTGTAACTGCATTTAACATTCAGAACATAGTGCAAGTCCACCAAGATGGTACCCAGAGTCTGGAATTTCCAGCTGTACTTCCACTTACTTGTGACCTCTTTGGCATTCAGAAGCTTATCTGCTTTAGCACAGCACACTAAACAAAGCACATCCAGAATAAAGCCAGTGTCAGCTCTTCGTTTCCCATCTCCTGCATTGACTATCTCAGATCCAATCAGCACTGAACTGCAGCCAAACCACAAAAGCTCCATGGGTCACAGCTCAAGGTCAAACCCAGGAGACTGCTGAGAAGACCTGAGGAGCAGGTCAACCACCAACTGTTCACACACACTGGAGTGGTTAAAGCACTTGGAGATGTTCGAGAACGTAATTGTTTCTAGTTTGTCAGTAGTGAAAAGCGAGGATCACTAAGTGTGAAAAACATCACGCACAGCAGAATGACATAGGTCTAAATTACAAGGTCCACAAACAGTTTTGACTGTTATTCTCTGAGGAGCTATAGAATGAGTTCAACAATGAGGAATGAAGAATGAAACTGGCGCAAATATGAACGAGAATGATTTATGAAACTGGCGCAAGATATCGTAACTGTTTATGGGAATACATCTGTTGCATTTGATGATGTTTTCTGTTATGTTATGTTATGTTATTTGATGATGTTATTCATTCATTTATTAAAATATTTTTGTCGTACTTTTTGTCAGCATCATAGAAATAAAAGGAAATAAAAAATAATCATAATGACTAAAACTAAAAGTACATACAGTTTTCTTGACTAAAACTATGAATAAAATTTGACATTTTCATAAATTAAAAGTACTGATATTTTTGTAGTCCCAAACCACTCCATAAACAAACTTTCAAGAAACACATCTCCACAGTTTATCAAACTTTCTATTGACTTCCACAATCCATGAGGAACTCATTGCAACACTTCAGATCACTACTAAAAACTCACCTGTTTAACTAGCATTGACCCCACGACTTCCATCTTCCTCTACTGTTTCCTTAATCTATGTAAAATGTCTCTGAGTGTCCAAAAAAACACTATATAATGATCTGATGTAGATGTAATATAGATATATTCAGCTAAACTAGCATGACATTTTGAATGAATCTTAACTAAAACTAAGTTAAGATTTCTGGTCAAAATGAAAACTGCAAGCATTTTCAAAAGGTTAAGAGCAAAGGTGATGACACTAGGGGAATTAGCAGAGGTAGCATATATTTTATTGGCATGTCTTGCATCAAAAGGTGAGGCGTTGGAGGTCACTGCTTGCGTATATAGATAGGCCCAGTGGTTATATTAAATGACCTGCTCTGATTGTGCAGGCCTGCCTCTCCCTCTCCCAGAAGGAGCAGGTGCACCATCTGGCAGTATGAATGTTGGGACTGTACGACCCATGACTCATGTGTTTGTGTGAGGCTGAGGAGAGGAGAGCAGACACTGAGCTTGGATTATTTGAACTACAGAAGGTTTAAGTATGTGAACGCCCCTGCAGTGTCCCAGCACAGCAGCAGACCAAGTGGGACTTCCTCTCTCACAAGAGAGAAGTCTATCATTTCATCCCAGAAAACAAAACAGGGGTCAAAATAATGTTGTAGTTAAAAGAGCCTAAAGAAACTGCATGATGTAATCGACAGGACTGTTTATAACAAGGGTGACTTAAGATACATATATATGTATATACGTATATTTAAAAAATGTGTTCCTCACCTTCCACGGTGGTAGGTCTCTCTCACCCTCGTCCACCTTGGGTCATCTACCAGAGGCCTGGGAGCTTCAGAGTTCTGCACAGTATCTTTGCTGTTTCTAGTACAGCACTTTTCTGGACTGAGATGTCTGTTGTTTTTCCTGGTATCTGCTCTCCAGTATGGGGGTTACAGCCCAAAGTGCTCCGATCACCACAGGCACCACTGATGCCTCCACCTTTCAGGCCTTCCCCAGCTCTTCCTTGAGCCCCTGGTATTTCTCTAGTTTCTCATGTTCCTTTCTCCTGATATTGACATCGATGTCCACCACCACAGCTTTGTTCTGTTGAGAGAGAGAAAGAGAGATTCATTAAAGAGTGTACTGACTCAAAGCTCAAAACCTAAATTTGGTGAAGTGTGAGGTTCAAAGGTTTACAGTGGATATTTTACAAGTGAAATTATTTATTTAAATTAAAGCTACTTTAATGGCTTTTACTTTATTAAAGTTCAACTCATTATTCAACGATAACAGTTGGTGAAATCTAGTTACAACAATCTGCAAATAATAATACTTTATTTAAATGCCCTATATTAGGCAAAATTGACTCTTGTGATCTTTAAGCCATGCTATGTTGTTACTTCATCAAATACTGTTTTGTTTAATGTATACATATTTTAATAATCTTTATTTATTAGTTTGTCTATATCTCCAAAGCTGAAAATGCCCAGTTTCACCTTGTGATGTGATTAACAGCTTCCTTTTACCTTTAGTTCAGTAGAAATGGGCATTTCCAGGGATGAAATCATCCAGTTGATTCTAGTGATAGTGTATGGAGTTTAAAACACAGTGAACCACTGTATTACAATATCATATCACAAGGTGGAACACATTGTGATAATATGCAGTCATAATATGCAGGGACGCAGGGTGTGTTAAACATGTGCGAATGAAATAAAACACAAATCCAGGTATGCTTTTGATGAGGAAACAACATTGTAATTAAACATTAGAAAATTGAATAATATGGCGTAATATGGGTCTTTTAATTGTACATAGTGCACTATGTATGGAGATATAGTCTAATCCCAGTGCTTTTGAAGCAGAAAGATGTAATCTTTGTAGAGATTTGCAAGATTTGGTGGTTAGATTTTTAACCTCATTTCAGCTCAGTATGAAGGCAGTTTGTCTGTTTTTCATTAGTTGCAATTATTAAGATGACAGACTGGTCAGTACAATAGACATGTCTAATAAGAAGCAAATATTCGTGGGAATGTACCTTGTTTCTGAAGTGGTTAACTTGGCTTTATTTAAAGTTAAACACTTAGGGCTTATCCCACAGATGCCCCATACAACAGCCTGTGATCAGCGCCAAGAGTGGCACAGAAAAGCCACTTCCCTTTAAGATAAAAGAGGCCAGTCTCAAAGCGTATGTCTGACAATAATGAAAATGTGACTTTAGCCTGAAGCACTAACGCACAACTGAGGGACCTGTTTGTTGATTAGAAGCTGAACACAAGAGGGTCAATGGAGAAACAGCATTGTGGTCCGCCCCCTGCTCTTAGCTTAGATTGGAAAAGTGATAAATATGCATGAGTTTGCCTGGGACCAGAGAGGCCTTTGATGGTATATGGATGAGGCTTTTCTTTCTCTGGAGTAAATGCTCTCAAAATATCTTGATGTTTACCATCTGGGTACTTCTGAATTGTGTCCGTGCTTTTATTGGAATTTTTAGACAATGTTTCTTAACACAGTGGCCAAGTTACCATATAACCTCCTGACAAATTGGTTTCCATAAAACATTTGAACAAGGAATATTAACCGTATATGGTAACGGTATTTATGTATGGGTCAGTCGAGGCAAGGAGAGAGCTGATGTGTATTTAGTGTGAATAACGCCATACCCCAGAGGTGCGCGGAGGAGTTCGGAGGAGTTTGGGAAAGATTCGTGCGTCTTCAGTCTCTGATTGGCCCCAAGCTCCATTCATCAAATAATTCACGCGCGTTTAACTCTTAAAACCAAACTGCTCTGTGAGGATTGTGCGCTGTAGTCATCTTACCTTCATTTTTGCCACATGTCTCAGCCTCCGTTGGTCAAAAACTGTAATAATCCACTAAGACCATTTGTGATGCCATGTGCTCATATCGCATTCAGGACCATAACCAATTTTACGATTAACTTAAGTCAAATGCATGCATTTTTGACACGTTTATTTACTGAAGTCCATTCTGTCGAGTTGGGCCATTAGCGCCACCTGCTGCTGTAGAAAGGTATTGCGTTATTGGGTCACTTTGGTCATAGCAGTCAAAATGTAGCTAAGACTAGTGAAACACGATGACACAAGGTACGTGGAGAGATAAAGATTTATTGCTGATCTTGGAGTAGAGCGTCTTCTCCTCAAGCTGAGAAGCTCGTTGATGAATGGATTTTCCTCTACTCTGGGGCAATCATTTAGATGTCTTTTAATCAATCTGTGCACAATATTTCCAACTTTCACGTTAACATTTGGAAAATATTTACGAGGTCTTTTAATGTTGTTGTTGTTGTTGTTCCTAAACAAGAGTAACTAAGTGAAGCTTGGTGTTGAACTTTTTTTTGTGCAGTTAGGTTTTTATTGCAGATTCCTTTTGTGTTACTTGATTTGACTGTATTTTCTGAGCTAACGGATTGATTGTTCATTCTTCCTTTGTGCACCTGTCAGACCTCCAGATGTCAGACTCCTTTGAACACTACAGTGTTTCAGACAAGGCCATGGACTACAGGATTCTGCACATGGACGAGGACCAGGACCGCATGTATGTGGGCTGCAAAGACCATGTTCTGTCTATGGACATTAATAACATCACCAGTGGCACGCTTAAGGTTAGCACTCTGATTACTGTAAACATGTGTTATGTTTCACTATGCACTTTACTCCAAGAGAACATTAAAGCCAGCTCACAAAGTGCTACAATTTTGTTTTTTTGTGCACAATGTTATGCAAATGACAGTGCATTAGTGATGATCAGGACACTTTGGGGTAATCCTGGAGAGTTTTAAAAATGCTGGAGCGGGTGTTCACTGATTGTTCATGCAGGGAAGGAGTTATAGCTGGTGTAATTGACAGGATGAAGTGCATAAACAGATGGGGGAGCATTTAGAGTCCACTAGGGAATGCTGCTCTGCATCCACTTTGAACCAACCAAAACGCTTGATGTATTCATTGAGCTGCACCTCTGGGCACCTCTGCCTGCTTTAAAAGCACACATTTTCCACACATGCTGCCACCAGGCTCACACACGTCTGCTTTGTTCCACCATGTCTGCCCTCCACAAATAAATGTGATTCAGATCTTTCCATGGCACTGTCACACTCTGCCTGTTTTCTTACCAGGTGTTTTGGCCTGCGTCAAACAGTAAAATAGAAGAATGCCAAATGGCAGGAAAGGACCCCACGGTAAGTAAGAACATATAATATCATTATAAACAAATTACATTTTTTGTAAATTAAACTAAGTGGAGTTATCACATGAAAACATTTAACCTTACATGGAATTTGTAGTACTAGGTGTACCTCTTATGAAAATACCTGTGCCTCCAACTCTTCAAAATATACACTGGTTGAATCATGTAAATCTCTTTTGTTATCAAAAACCGTTACCTTAATGGTGCAAATACTGCTAAGGTGTGTAATGCCTATTTCAACCCTTGTCACAAACATCCTTTGAACTAGTATAGTATAATATGTTGCTATGTGCGTTTGTTTCTGCTGCTGAACATTGAATTTCCTTCAGGATCAATAAATCTTAAATCTAAAAAACTGTGCACAATCTAAACAGGTTTGGTAATCTTTTTCCACCAGGACCATGTAGTAAGTATTCTGGTTTAGTCAGCTGCTCAGATATACCCCCAGCCGGAGTCACTGCAGTCTTCTGGGACTCTGGACCATCTGTGCTCTGGGACAGATCCAAACACATGTTCAGGTTCTCCGGGTCAGAGCAGGATCCAGTCAACAGTACACAAAAATATGGGGTGAAATTATTTACTAACTACACCATGAAATTGCATAACAAAGACTTGTTTTCTGTTGATTCCTTGGTTTGGATCATGCATTATTATCAAAAACAGATTATACATACAAGATATAAACATTAAACAACTTATCACATTTATTACACTAATTCATGTATTTAATAATGCCATCTGCGTGGTAAGGCCAGGAACTCAAACTATTTTTATTCTTATGTCTCTGTCCAACAAGGCCGGCTGTTTCTCCTGCTCAGTGCTGCAGAGAGGAGAAGGTCTTTCCATTCATGAATGTGTTCTGAGTCACTGGCTGCTGATATAAACTGATACAGTGTTTGGATGAGCCATGGCTGTGTCGAGTAGGCTACACCCTCAGCTGTCATTCTGGGCATATGATTCATGATTGATACATTTCATGTAAACTGTTCCCAAAGTCCATTTAGATTAAATGAATTATTTTTCTTTTTTATTCTCCTATAGTTTCCATAGACATCACTTGTATTGTCCATTTCCTTATTTGTCATTGTAAGTGGTTTACTTTCAGAGTAAGGGCAGGTAGAATATTCTATTTAGTAAGTTGTTAATTTAATACTTAGTATGAAACATTTACTTGAATAATTGAATTATGACTACAAGACCAAAGCTACCAAAGAGATATGCTGTTGTTCTAGTTTTAAAGGTATGTCTGAAAAACTAAAATATATTAATTAAAGAGACAAGTAGATTTTCTGTATCCGAAATGTGGTGAGACACACTTGAGTTTGTTCACAGCAGAGTGGTGCAGGGCCACAGCAGCTGCCGTTCATGGCCATGTTCCCAACAGCTCCCCTGATACTCTGTGTCTCTGTGTTCTTCTCCTCCACATTTTCTCCTGCCTAGGCTCTGGTTCGTGTGTGTGATCAGGCCTAATTAGACTCAAGGTCCATCTCCATCTGCTGTAGGTGTGGGAGAGGAGCAGCGACAGACAGAAACCAGACCCACAGACTGTAAACTGTATCATGTAACATAGAAAAAGTCACATTTGTCACAATTCTGCTAGTGCGATATGCAATTTTGAGTTTTATTGTTTCCATGTGATGTGGTTAAAAAGGACGTATTAATATCTTAGTCACTCAAACTTTACTGGAGCTCATATGCTGCAAGGTTTAATATTGACCCTTTTTATAGTGATCCTGACCTTTTGCGTATGTGTCTCTTATGTGTTTTGCAGCATGGCTGTGGGAACTTCATCCGCGTGGTGCAGCCGTATAATCGCACTCATATGTTCATGTGTGGAAGTGGAGCCTACAGTCCAGTCTGTGTCTACATCAACAGGGGCCGCAGACCAGAGGTGGGTGGACCCTACAGTTTCACACATATCATTAAATTAGGGTTAAACCAAACCTAGACTAGACTGAACTAGACTTGCCTGACCAGCTAGTCCTTTCTACAATCAGTTTGAGCCCAGAAGGGATTGGAAGCAGACAAGGCAGAGTGAAAATCCTTCATCCAAACTTGAGAAGGTCCAGTTACAGCTGCTAATTTGTTGCATTTTCTTCAAATGCAGAAGACATCTCCTCTCAAAATTCTTGTAACATTCAGAACAAAATCTATAACTTTTTTTACCTGAGATAAATAACCATTTGCTTCGATTGTTGATTCTGTAAAAATCCTCACTGTTACTCAGTCCTTTATGTTCTTTTGTCAAAGCTTGTGGTTCTGGCTGGCCAGGTAAGAACTAGACCAGAACTAGATCAGGACCAAACCAAGTCTACATCAGAACTAAACTGGGCACAGATCAGGATCAAACCATGTGGGAATATACACCCTAAATTTGCACAACAGAAGTGAAAACATTCAAGGTTATAAATTCTAAGCCATACAAAGCCACAATTAACTCTTTACATAAACTGGAGTGCCTTTTTTACAGTCATTTATTTTTGTATCAGATCAACCATAAAATTTCTTATTGCTCCAGTGTTACTGCATTACACAGCAACACACATAACAGAACACATCTGTTCACTCAAAAATACCATAAGAAAGACATCTGTAAACTGAATAGGACACATTGGATGACAATGTTAATTGCCTTACCTGGTTTTGTTGTAATGGTGTGCACCAAAAATACCTGTAATTCTTAGTTCAACCTTTAAGTTTGTCTTTAATTTGTCTTTAATCCTCTCATTTTAATGTTTTCTGTATTGAACAATGAAGAAACACTTCCTACAGAAGTCAGTACGTGGTTAGTGTCATTTCATACAGTCGCTGTCAGACCACCTCCAGAACCACTTAAACAGACATATTTCACACACGTTTTCCTTAAAAATCTGTCCCAGCTGACGTCAATGACATGAAAATTTATGGAGCTCAAACCATCAGCAGGCCGACCAAATATATCAGGACAGAAAAGCTTTTGTACCATTTCCAATGCAGTCCAGCCCAAAGCTTCCTAAAGACAGAAAGCTACTTGGCAATATCTGCACTTCCAATACAGGGATGGTCACCAAGCTGTTTTTGTAGAAAACTTCATTTCTCTGTAATGGAATGTTCTCTTTACTGTTCCATAAGGACATGTAAAGAGGGTCTTGACTTCTCTATCTAAAACCCCCAAAAATACGACTTGGAAAATCTGAACAGTTCTACCTTAAGGGACATTTGGTTCTCTCCTAAAAGCAGTTTTATAGTAGAACAGAGAAACCTATCTTATAAAACTGTCTGCACAATACAACCTCTTCTCCTCTCTGTGACAGGAACAAGTATTTCACATCGACTCCAAGAGTGAATCTGGAAAAGGGAGGTGCTCCTTCAACCCTCAAGTCAACACAGTTTCCGTCATGCTCAGTAGGTGTTTTGTGACACATGCTTCCTGATATATGAGTGTTAAACTCCATAAAAATCACAGTAATTGAAACAGTGTTCAACATAGAGAATTCCTACTAAATTGACTAAAGTTTGGCAGGTTATCTAGTCAGATTGATTATGTGCATGCTCTAGTCTACATCAGGACTGGTATTAATATCATCCCCTATGCGTTTCAAGCTAAAGCAGCAGGCAGTCCTCCGTTGTTACAACACTTACAGAATGCAGATAAAAAATATAGTATCTCTTTAAAGGGGAAGGATCATTTGCCTGAAACCATGAATCAAGTAACTCCCCCACCTTATATATCTAAATTTTAAAACATTTCTCAAACGCATCAACATCAACTAACTAATATATTCTTCCCTTTACACATCCTTGTCACTCCCTGAAATGTGTGTCTTGGTCACTGCAACTGTCTTTAAGCTCTAGTTTCTATACTCGCCTACACTTTCACGCTATTTTTGTGTCTTTACTCCACTTTCAAATTAAACCATATTCAGCCTTAGAACATGAGGAGATATATTAGATTCAATTGGTATTTGTTTGTAAATTTTTCCAAATATAGCCTGGCTGATACTTAAGCTAAAAGTGGCAGTTGTGGACATCAAACACACTTAATGTCTCCCTCTGGATTGGCTGCAGTGTCACTTTCTCTGATTTCTTTGATGTGTGATTGGTGCAGAGGTATAGGGTTGCTGTTGACAGGGCTGGGGGAGACACATTGCACCTTCAGCTCCACTTTCTGACACCTGAGGAGAGCCGGTCAGCAGCAGCTCTGCCAACATATCCAGAGGAGAGCCAGTGTGAGGGGAAGCTTGCCCAGAGGAGAGTCAGTGTGAGAAGCTATGACGTATGACGTAAGGCGGGAGGAATGACAAGTGCAGAGGCAATGATTCAGCAATGAGTCTGTAGAGCAAAGGTCCCATAACTTATGATCAATCATATCTGTGTACTATGTCAACTGGCCAGGAACTTTGGAGTATCAAGTAATTTTTCTTCACTAATTATAAATGCAAGTTACTACACTCAAACTAGTAGAGGTAGTTAGAGCATTCACCCATCCACACAAAGTTTGGCAGTCCTGTTTCTTCTGCAAGAAAAGTATTATTCTGATATATGCTCGTGAGGTACATTATTATAGAGACTGACTGGTGTTTGGAGAGGCTGTGGAGCAAACAGGCAGCCAAGGTTTTATCATCATCCCCAGAACAACTTTAAAGAAGTCTTCACAACCAACCAAAAAGAGTCAATGAATTACACATAGAGCAACACATCAGAGAAATGCATTTATTGTTATTACTTCTAGAGATGGACCTATATGTGTTTTGTTTTTTGTTTTTTTCATAGCCCATGCCGATATTGAGCTTTTAGAATCCAGTGAAACCGATGGCCGATATGTTGGGACGATTTTGATTATTTCCCCCAAATTATGTCATTTAAATATACTACAACCCCCATCATGCCCTTTTTTAACATAAACCTATAAGAGAGCAGTATAGTCACATTTTGTGCAGCTGTCTTTTTCATATTAAAGTCAAAGCCTTGTGTGTATTTTTCGGGAGCAGTTTGGCTTATGCTGGAGATTTAAGGCAGATAGCTGATATGCTAAAAATACCAAATATCAGCCCAATATATTGGCCAACTGATATATCAGTCTGTCTTTAATTATTATTAAAACTTTTATGCTTGGAGACTAGGGCTGTATACTGTTTACACATATGGCACAAATGGCATGGGCTACACTTTGGACATAACTATTGTTTGGATGTGGTGTGGGTGTGTTGCTATGTGAAGTGTCAGACGTGTGGACATGTGCAGTGTTGATAGTCTGTGTGCTGTCAGCAGAGTGTCCTTATGGCCCTGTCTAACGCACGCTTCAGAAACTGCTCTCACAACACTGCGCACATAAACACAGGAACGGGGCCTGAGAACAATGAAGTAAGACTAAAGGAATTACTAAAGTCATCCAGTGAATACAGGGCGTACAAGAAGCTTGGACTGTTTGTGATTGTCTGTACATTTGTCTTCTGAATGCTTAAGTACTACAGTCAGCTTCAATTACTCCTATTTGTACTGAGTATAGCTATAAACACGTAAGTGCTTTATGCTGGTGGGTCTTGCTCAGTTCAAAACAAAATATAAGTAACAGAAAAATACTAAAATTACTCTATTGACAGTGCTGATTGAACATAGGTGATGTAATTAAACTGTTGTTTTTGGTTCAGACCAGGAGCTGTTCTCTGGGATGTACATTGACTTTATGGGAACAGATGCTGCCATCTTTAGGAGCCTCACTAAAAGAAATGCAGTGCGGACAGACCAACATAACTCCAAGTGGCTCAGTGGTGAGTAAATGTAAACATAAAAAATAGTCCTCATATGCTGCAAGTTTAACAGCTTATAGTGTTTAGATTGATTACTCTAACCAAAAAGTGTGTTGTTGTTTTTTTTGCCTTTTCTTCAGAGCCAATCTTTATCGATGCACACCTGATACCAGACGGAACAGACCCGAATGATGCAAAGTTATATTTCTTCTTCAGAGAGAGGCTCACAGACAACAGTGGTAACACCAAGAACATCCACACCATGGTGGCCAGAGTCTGTCCAGTAAGTCTGTAGCCTGGGAACTTGGGGGAACAACCATGGACCTCTAATAAGTGTGACCAACAGTAAAGCAGTGTTTCTCAAACTGTGGTACCTTTGGTGGTACTACAGACTGTATCTGTAAGTGGACATAGGTAACGCATTTGCCGCTGCATTCCATATATGAATTTCGCATGCAGGCTCTTCCGGCTCCTTTTGACCCTGGATCACATTGACTTACAGTGAAATATTGTCGCCCCTCTCTCTGTAACTGTTGCAGTGAGCCTTGTCATTTTAGTCATAAAATGTTCATATTAACCCGCTCTACATGATCCTGTTTTTTTCTGTTAAATATCCTGTTCAAATTTGCTTCTGTAACCACTAGCATCATGAGCTTCATTTGACTGGAGCCAAACGCTTTGGGTGGCGTCACACTCACTTAGTCCACTTCTTCATACAGTCTTTGGGTGGTACTTTGCAGTTTGAGTATTTGTTTTATTCAAATTTGAGACCATGTTTGGCCCTAATTCAGCCCTGATCCGGGTTTAAATCTGGTGGTACTCTGAAAGCCAAATATTATCTCAGGTGGTAGTTCAGAGTCAACATTCTGTTACCATACATTCATAAGTCAAGATATGTGAAGTGTCTTGCCCAAAGACCCAACAATCCTTCATACTAGCAAGCCACTCAACCACTGAGCTAATCTATATTTCCTAATAATATGACATAGTATTATTTGAAATAACAGAATCAAAGAATAGCACAACAGAACACGTTTTAGTGTGTATGGATGTATTAAAAACTTTGACTATAATCCTTGAATAATGAGACCTAGAATAGAAACCAAGTATGTTCTGCCATGACTCATCTCTCGTGTTTGTGCAGAATGACATTGGCGGCCAGCGGAGTCTGGTGAACAAATGGACCACGTTCCTCAAAGCACGGATGGTGTGTTCTGTTCTGGAGGAGGACGGTACCGAGACTCACTTTGATGAACTGGGTTAGCTGCACTCTGATGCTATTTTAGGCCTTTAGCTCTTTGCACTTTTCTGTTTGAATTGCATGGTTGACGTGTCAGCTTCAAAACAAGTGGTATTATTAAGAAAACGTGTGGCAGCTATACAATCTTTTATTCCTGAAAGCATGCTATTCTAGTATTAATGGAATCCAGCAACTGTTTTCTTTATAAACAATGAATGTGACGAGACATTTATTTGCCCTGGATTTACAACGTTAGACCTTTATCACTTCAGCCAATAACAATCCTGCTGTTCTGGTTTACTTTAATGGCACACCATGAGACTTTTCTGACGTAGGGTCTGCCATTGGTTTGTCTCCATGGAGATGTTATTGCTTAAGCCAGAATGTTCCGCAATATGGCATAAAACTTAACTAACGCCATGGAGACAAGCAGGCAGATGTTCCCAGGCCAAGTTATAGGTCAGCGCTGTGGAGAGGTGACCCCATTCTCAATAAAGTTTCATGTTTTCAGGGTATTATTGAGCAATAGAATATAAAGGAATAATTGCAAGATAGATAAGTTAAATATTATGTTGTGGAACATTTTAGGTAAAGAAAAATATATCTTCATGAAGACAAACAGATGACGGACCTGCACAAGAAACGTTACATAGTGCACTATTGCTCCATTGTTGGGGTCCTTTATTCCAATTTAGTTTGTGCATCCACCTGTAAATTCATGTACGAGATTACATTTTGCTATCAGGTGTATGGTTGATATCAGTGCATGTGATTATTATATAAAATATTATGTCTTTCCTTTACAGAAAGTGTGTTTTTGCTGGAGACGGATCAACCAAAAGGCCTCCTGGTTTTTGGAGTCTTCACATCCACAAGGTAAGAGCCAACTGTAACATTCTTTTACCCTTGGAGCGTTTAGGCAGATCAGGAAGGATGCTTCTGCAGTAGGTTGTCTTGTGTTCTGGTGAAGACATGTTTACACAGATTACAACAACAGCATCTGACTGTCTTTTCCAGATGACCTCAATTTTAATGTGCTTTCCATATGAGTGTTAGGGCCAGAGATTCTTTCTGTTCAATGCGACGGTGCTAACTCTGTGTATAGCTTTTTGTTGAATATAGATGGCGTGCCAAGACAGCTTTAATATAACTTTTTTTTTCTTTTTCCTTTTTAAATTTTTTTTTTAATTTTTTTCAGTTTTTTTTTTTTTTTTTTGAAAGGGCAGCAGTTAAGTAGTCCCTAAAGTACTGGTTACACTGCTGTAGAGGTAGCAGCAACAATAAACTACTGGCTCTTTTAACATAGCCACATCATAGCCACAACATCTAATTATATGCATTAACAAGATTGTTTATTCAACAGTTATAGAGTACTTATTGTGTTAATGGAAATGTAATATGTTACATTTATATTATTGTTGTCATTGAATGTCTGCCATTCAAACCCAAATCTCTTTAATTTCTCATAAATGCAACATCAGAATTCAAATTTTTTATGTATTGTCTATAGATTTATGTAACATTAATAGGAAATGCCACCAGGTGTAGTTATATACAAGAGCCCTCAGTGTGACCGGATTGTCTGTATTTGATAGTAGCTGCCGTGTCGAATTGTAAAGTTTAAAGGAGCGGTCACTTGATCCCCAAGTTCTGAAGTCTAATTGACTTCATCTGCTTAAGCCTCTGGTCCACAGGCCTGGATTCACTGGTAACCTCTGGATCATACAACTCCTGCATCAGAGCTCTCCCACTCAGAGAACTCAGCCAAAGCAAACAGGCAGGTCCTCCAGGTCTCCACTCTCACTGTTATTCCCCATCTCGACACAATACGCTTCTGTTCCTCTCTCCACAAAGCTCCTGTTATGTCGTGTTAAAGCCAAACCACATTAAATTACCTGAAGGGAAGTCCATGGAGTAAGACGATGTTTTAACTCAGACATCCTCAAAAATATTTTTATTCATAAACAGAAAGGTTGACCAGGGTGGGTTTCCCATTTGTCTTGTCTGTCAGCTATAAACTTTGAATCTTATTTCCGCAGCTCGGTGTTCAAAGGTTCAGCGGTGTGTATGTACAACATGGCTGACATCCTCACTGTGTTCAATGGGCCGTTCGCTCACAGAGATGGACCCAACTTCCAGTGGGTGGCCTTCCAGGGACGCATCCCCTATCCCAGACCTGGAACTGTGAGTGCCACAAAACATTTGAATGTTTTAAGTTTGCATTTCAAATAATATAGCACACTTTTGTCATAAGTATAGCTACTTGATGATATAGCTCAGTTGGTAATACAAGAGTGCAGTTCCAGAAGTAAATTGTCGATTAAGTTTTTCCGTAGACTTTTTGAAAAATTCAAATATTAACAGTTCAAAGACATTGCAAAGGCTAAGCAGCTATGCGGTAACTAATATCCATAACGTGGTTGTTTAAGGTCCAAAAAGGCTGTTTAAAATGCAAGATTCTGCAAAATGTTTTAATACAGCTTATAATGTTTCAGAAACATTATATGTCTTGTGGTCATTAGTTATCAGGTAGCTGATTATCTCGAGCAAGCTTTCAAACTTTTTTTTTTTTTTTTTGCAAAGTCTTGAAGAAAAATGAATAGGAAATTTAGTTGGTAACTTGATAACTACCATAATATTCAAGGAGCACTTATACAGTTTTACCCTAGGTGAATCTTATTATTGTATGCTGCAATCATTTCACTTTCTGTAACACTTTATTTATTACATTCAGCTGCAGTTTTGGTTATGTTGAGTATTTCAGTTGTAAAAACATTTGAGGTATTAATCACGTTTAAATATGTTTTGTGATTTGCCCAGTGTCCAGGAGGAGCATTCACGCCTGACATCCAAACAACCAAAGAATTTCCTGATGATGTGGTGACCTTTGTGAGGAACCACCCAGTCATGTTCAACTCAATCTACCCCGTGGGAAGGCGCCCCCTCGTGGTACGCACTGGAGCTGACTATAAATACACAGCTGTAGTGGTGGATCAGGTCGCTGCTGCAGATGGGAACTATCAAGTGTTATTCCTGGGCACAGGTACAAGTTTCCTACTGACTTTATTTCTTCATTAAAATTTTATACAAATTGTGCTGCATGACAGGTCTCAAGACAGAATATTATTATATTGGCTTTAAAGAGTTTAAGATTAGACTGGCATGGGTCACATAAATGCCACAAGTGAATGATTGGCAGGTTGTGGCTGTAAAAAATGATGAGTCATGCAGTATTCTCACTTATCTTCCTTGATATTAATATGACTCTTATCTCACGTGAAAGTGCTGCATTTTTTACAGAAGCTTCTACTTTCTACTGCATTCTGCTTAATGTAAAGTACTTACTGTAAATATGAAGAAGCTTAGTCAAGTTAAATAGTATAACAATTAGGGATTCAACACTAACCAAAATATTGTGATATAATATTAGCAAAAGTCTGAAAATTATATCGTGGGCCATCACAATATATTGAATTATAAACCTCTGCTTTAATTCATTGTTATTGTGCAGCAAAAATAGATGGAACTACATATACAATTCTCCTTGGCTCTGTTTCAGCACAAACTACATGAAGAAAAGACTATTATTCAGCATTTTAAAATCTTAATTCTTTGGATTTGTTGACACATTTTATAAGGAAAATGTAGCATATTCACAATTTTGTTTACCCCCACTAAAGTCTTGATTACTTACCCTGTCTTTGTAAGTCTATGGGGAGATCTTTCTCTTTCTTTCTCTTATAAGCCCATGCCCACTGTTGTTTAAAGAAGAGACAATGCAGGCAACCAGACTGTGTATTCAGGTGAGGAGAGGAGGTACACTTGTTATCAGGGGCTTCCAGGAGCTTGTCTTGTGGTCAAGTGGGATAAACAGACCTTATTGATGACACTGGGGCTGTGCCCTCTCTGTGTCCTCTCTTTCTTTCTTTCTCTCTCTCTCTCTCACTACTGCAGATTTACATTCTCACAATTTCCACAATTCAACATTTTTTTGTAGTTGTGACTAGTAATTCATGGAAAAAACTAAAATCTAGTTATTCTTATTACTTTCCTCACTGTCAAGAAATATTATTATCACAATTAGATGGTGTGTTTTTGGTTTTCATGGGGCATAAAAAAACTGAACCAGAGACAAATAGTGTAATATTATGTATCTGTGTAACACGTTATCATACCAACACACTAGGCTATAATGAACAAATAGTTTATTTAGACAGATTCAGGTTTAGTAACTACTTAATCGATACCCCTAACTCTTAAGTAGGTACTAAGCCTAAATTACTACTAAACTATTTGTTCATTATGAATTAGGACTGTGTTTGTGGTATATTAAGGCTAGTCAAAGGTCCAACATTATGCAAAATTAACTCTTTAAACTTTAAGTCATTTTATAATGTTACCTCCTCAAAACATATCTGAAGTTGAAAGAACAAAAATGTGGCTGTTTGCTGCAGGTGTTCCAATCAGTAGGAGCAAATAGAGGGTGCTCTTGGAAAAAAGGATCAAGACTCAAGACACAACGGATTCCAGGCACTCCAAAACAGTAGAAAAAGTTAACACATCGCACGAGGAAAAATATAATTAAAAGGCCTTTATTTGAATGGCCAAAGCCAACATGTTTCGACCTCAACTGGTCTTCATCAGGGCTTAATTAAGAACAAAGCATGGGTGTGGCCTTCAAATAGAACACATCAACCAATAACAAGGCTGGAGTAAATTGGAGGCAGACAAAACAGGTGCACAAAGACAGGAAGACACATATCTGAAGTTGTTTCACTCACACATGGTTGAGCCCTTTATTATTAGTCTGGCTACATTTCCAAAGCATAAAATGTTCTGTTCCACATTATGATGTAATGAAGTGGTAGATGTCAAGTTAACACCTCCTTTTACCTTTAGCTCAGTTGAGATTGGCAATTCCAAGGCTGTGTTAAACATGTATGAAAGAAACAAAACACAGCTCTAAGTATGTTTTTGATGAGGCAACAAGATTATAACGTAGCTCAGAAAATAAGGTAATATGGGCCCTATATAACTCATAAACCATGTAGTTATTATGCAGTGTTTTCAATACATCACAATACACATCACAATACCTGTATGGTCACATGTCTTATAACCAGTTGTGTATGTGCTGCTTCATGAGTAAATGTTCAGTAAAGGTTCACATTTACTTCACAGTTTGTAACACATGTGATCTCTGCCCTCAGACAAAGGCACCATCCAGAAGGTGATCGTCCTACCCACAAACCAGACCCTTCAAGAAGACCTGATCCTGGAGGAGCTGGAAGTATTTAAGGTCTCCTCCACTTTTCTCCCTGGTTCATCCTTTTTCTGACATCAAATCAAAGAGCAGTGAGTGAGTCTAGCCTCTGTGTAAAGGCCAAGCGCAGACCAAACGAGGATGGCATTCAGGAGAGAGATGCTGTTCACAGTATGATGAAAAACACACGTAGTATATTTGGCAGGAGTTGCCCCGTACAGTTGCTTTGCCCTGAGTTGAACTTTTGTACCATTTATTTGCTTGAGAGAGCTGGATGTGTTGTGAGGCTGTGATCACTGCTAAAGGTCATCGTGCTGCTTTGATCTGCACTGTACTCTGGCCACAGCAGGTTTGCAGACAGGAGCGAGTTTGATTTATGCCTCAAAGAAACGTAAAGGAGCATGTGGTCAAAAGCTGTTGGAAATGAATACTGCACCTCTTCAGTGCCATTTTAAAAATAACCATTCAAGCTGGTTGCCGTTTTTAAGTCTCACATAAGATCAGCTAAGAGTAGATACCCTAGAGCAGTGAGGGTCTCATTTTGTGGAGCAGGAAACAGTGGTTTACCAAGGATCTTTTTGATGGTATCTGGGGACTCTGGAAAACCTTTAGGCAAGACAAGGCCGAGTGAGTTCATTTGTAGGGGACAGTTTGTTCATAAAGTAATTTAAAGTGCTGTATATTATAGTATAAAAATCTCCTACAGTATACTTTCCCACATGTGCTCAAATGGAGAGAGCTGAGGCAGGAAAGTTATATTTTATACAAACCTGTAAAAATAGCTGGACACTTTGGTTCTGCCAACAGGGAAATACATACACACACAAATGTTATATGAAAACATTCAAAAATTATTATTATTATTTTTTTTTTCAGAACCAAGCTCCGGTGACAAACTTGAGAATTTCCTCTAAAAAGGTAAGTGGGCTATTCATTATTTTTTGCAGTTTTGTTCCTTTAATATGTAACTAACCTGCTGCATGTAAAAGCAGAAATGGTGATCTCCTCTGAATTGGGCCTGTCCCAGAGGAAGAGAAATAATAAGCTGTAATTGTGGCTCATTTTGCTGTCAGCTCTCCACTTATTAAGACAAACAGGGCGTCTGACATTTGAACTGTTTACTTTGCAGCAACAGCTTTACGTCAGCTCGGAGTTTGGAGTCTCTCAGGTCTCACTGCACAGATGTCAGGCTTATGGAGAAGCCTGTGCTGACTGCTGCCTGGCCCGGGACCCCTACTGTGCCTGGGATGGTCTGAGTTGCTCACGATTTTACCCTACTGGAAAAAGGTACTGCTGGGTTTAAAGAAGACATATTATTTTCTGGTATTTATTTAAATGCAGTGTGAATAGATCATTCGTTCACATTTTGTTAATCATAAACTGCAATATTTATCTAAACTTTATCAATAGCAATGGTTCCAATGACTTTTCAAACCAGCTGAGAAGCATAGCCTATGTGCATTTCACTGTAACAAGCATGTATGTGTTTTTATTGTAGAAAAATGCCTATGTAATATGAGTAAAAAGAATGTTTTAGTAGGCGGAGATAGGGGGAAGGTGAAGACAAGAATGTTCAGAGCATTCAAGCTTCAAATGCAGCTTAAAATGTATTGTTTTAAACCTCTTGGGCATTCGCTGAAGTGTTTTTTTAACCATCTAGCATCTTTTTAGACTGTGCCATTGTCCTCCACAACTCCTTAAAGGAGTTAAAAATGACAAAACACAGATGCCCCAGTAGTGAACATCTGGGCCTCTTTTGGGGCCTGTCTCATCATGTGGCCAGTCAGACTTCAGTCAAGTGTAGTTCAGATGTCCTAAAGAAAAGTTTCCTCCACAAAAGGCGTGTGAAACAGATTTTCGCATGAAAACTAGGGGTTGCAATCAGCACACATTTTTTCAAAGACTATGCAAAAACATAGTCTTCCAGAAACTATCAACTGTAAATTGCAACATCAACTGCAAATTGTTGCATCTCAGTTGCGTTTGCGTCTCAGTCAAAGGTCTCGGTGCAGTTTAACAGGAGGACTGGGCAGGTAGTGTGAGCAGATCTGTGTCAGGGCAGTTTGAGGAGATCAAAGATGTCTCTCCTCAATGTCCTGTAGCATCACAGCAGTGTCCGGGAGAGCCAGGTGAACACAAGAGGAAAGGCCTTATTCTTACTCTGCTCTGGTGTTTCTGTAGATGAGGAAATGGTTCATTCACTCAAAGTGTTTCGTCTGGAAGGTCTTCTGCCACGTTTACTGCCACATATGATGTAAAAATGCCTGCAGCATCTCAAAAGTCCTTAGCTAGCTCCTTAGCTAACCTCTTGCACAGTCTCCATGAAAACAGGAAAAACAAATAGCTCATTTCACACAATCCAACAGTCCCTTACATGTATCCTTTGAACTGCACTTGTTTCACTTTTTAGTTGGTTAAAACTGAGCTCAAAAAACTAATAGTTTCAAAAACTCAGTGTGTGAGCCAGGTAGCCACAAAAGCAGCCAACCACTCAGTTGTTGTTACTTATAAAATAAATACATTTTCTTTTTCATCCACACAATATTTATGTATTTATGTATTATTAATGTGCTGTTTATTTTTTAGGAGAAGCAGGAGGCAAGATATTATTCATGGGAACCCACTTAACCCAGTGCAGAGGATTTAATCTGAAAGGTACATGGACCACCATTTGGACCATATTTTTTAGAAATGTTTTTATTATTGGCTATATTTATATAATATATTATTATTATATTATTTATATCAGCCATGAGTATTCTCAAGCCATGCATTGTAGCCAAAACACTGTGCTGGTCCAAATCCTGGGTAAACTGGGATATGAATATGAATCATTCAAAACAAAGACAGAGATGGTTCGATGTGGTAACCCAAAATGGAATACCCTGTGTTAAAAATGAAGAATAATTGTAATGAATCTACGAATGAATCAAATAATAATTGCAATAAAATACACTACTGAATATGTAGTTTTGATCAAATATTAAATTAAATTAAATTTGGGGGGAAATTTTGTTAATAATATGTAGATTACTGTCTGTTTTGCATGAATACCTTAGGCTAGCTTCCTGGAGTTTGCCCAATGGACCGTCAATAGGAATCATAATGAGACGAGAGGATTTATTCCCCAGAGTCCCCCATTTCCCTGAACGCTTTACATCTGTAAATGAACACAGACTTTGGGGAGTGAGGCATATGGCCATTACCACTAATTAACCACTTCTCTGTCACACACACAACTGAGTGATAAGCTATTTAGCAACAACAAAAACAAGACGGTGACTTCAATAGAAAACAGGTTGGTGCAATGCGTTGTGAGTTGTTTGTCTGGCTGTAAAAACAAGGCAATTTCATATTCCGCACAGGTGTTTGCCCAAGCCTTTGTGTCAACATTTCACACTGAGGCTGCTGGGATTTCGGGGCAGAATAAAGCGCCCATCTGTCGTGGTTTGTCAGCAGATGACGTCTGATTCTGACTGTCTCTCTCTTTGGACTCTCAGCCTACAGGAATGCAGCGGAAATGGTGCAGTATGGTGTGAAAAATAATACCACCTTTCTGGAGTGCATCCCCAAGTCTCCTCAGGCCTCCATCCGCTGGCTAATACAGAGGGACAATGACCGCAGGAAAGAGGTGACTCATAGTTGTTGTTTCATATCAAAGAACTATTCATTTTGTTATGACATCATAGTTTCTAAATGGGAATACCAAATCAACATAAATATTCCTGGTCTCACTAGATTAATAGTTTTCTGACATAATCCACATGCAATCCATCTCTGAATAGGATTGTTTTATTCAAATTGTAAATCATCAGAACATGTTTATGTAAATATGTGACAGTAAGATTGCTGCACAAATACATTGGGGAGATGACTGTCATGATACAATGGCCTTGTTATCTTTAGGGATCGTTTTTGCTTGTTTAACCAGCACATCAAATTAAGTCAGGTCAAGTCAAGTGAATGAGCTCACTCACTTGAACACGCCACATATCACCTGGTGTAATAATAATGAACCTGATACAAATCATACTTGAGGCAGAATCTGACTAATGACTCAATTCTCAACAGGGAAATGTTTTACAAATATTTGATACCCCCTTTAACAGCAGGGGCCATCCACATTCTGTTATAGATCACATAAACCTGAGGGGAAAGAACTCATATTAGGCTTTCCTTAATAAAACACATGTTTTATTTTTTGTTTATTTTCTTCAGCTGTTAATCATTTATATCTTACACAGGTGGAACTGACCTCACTGATAAGGAAATGATAATTAAGCGGCTATATAAACAGGGAGTAGCTTGATATAATGATGATAATAACGCAATGCAGCTTATAAATTGTTAATTATCTAATGTGGGTATATTAGTTATGCAATATACCTCACTTGATTGATCCAGGCTTCAGTAATGTTATGTTAGTGTCATGGTTCCAATCTATAAAGCAAAAAGACAGTTTTTATGATTCTCAGTTTTCAGTTTTATACTGTTGCTGTCTATAGCCAATGTACGAGGGACAGAGGATTTTAATTGGGTTGGCAAATGGGCAGTTTGTTTATACTGTTTCTAAAGTACTGAAGTCCTACACTACCGCAATCTCAAAGTCCTGCTCTAGGTTAAGTGTTCACTAACTACACTAACCTCTATAACATTTTGGCATATTGGCATTTAATTAATTATATAACTTTATGGTTTGAGATTCCATCACCTGATGTCTTCCTGAAGATATCATAAAATGTCCCATAGTGTGGTTAACTGATTTATCTCCCAGGAACACTAGATCACATCTGTGGAGAGGGGACCCTGCTTACAATGCAGGTTTTTCAAGTATTTTGAACAATAAAAATACTGTACAGTAGATAAATTAATATTTTAAAAATGCTATGTTGATGAGGTTAATGCCATTTGTAGATCATCATGTAGACAACCCTCCACCAGAAAAGTTACATAGTGCACCTTTAAGTAACATATTTGCACTAAATTGTCTCCTAATGAGTCTTGATGCTTTCCACCCCACAGGTGAAGCTGAGTACTATAAATATATATATAAATGTTAGGCTGACAAGGTTAATGCCATCTGTAGATCATCATGTAGATAACCCTTCACCAGAAAAGTTACATAGTGTACTGTTAATTAACATTTTTGCAGCATATTGATTCCTAATGAGTCTTGATACTGTCCACCCAACAAGTGAAGCTGAGTACTATAAATATAAATAAATACTATGTTGACAAGGTTAATTCTGTTTGTGGAACATCATATAGACCACTCCACCAGAGAAGTTACATAGTGCATCTTTAATTAACATATTTTTCCACTAAATTGACTCCTATGATGTCTTGATACTGTCCCTACCACAGGTGAAGCTGAGTGACCGCGTTGTGTCCACCGAGCACGGCCTTCTGATTCGCTCTGTGCAGCTGTCTGACCAGGGCCTGTACTACTGCCTCACCACAGAGAACAACTTCAAACGCACCGTCGCTAAGATACGTCTCCGGGTGCTGAGCGAAGCTATGGTGAGCCTGCTGACCGACAAGCAGCAGTCTCCCTGGGCCTGGACGAGCTCACTGCACCCTAAGGTCCTCTTATCAGCATTCAGTCCGGCAGAGAGCATGGCGGTGCAGCAGTTCTGTAAGGAGAGGAGAGACCAGCAAAACCTCCAGCAAAGGCAAAAGCCACACCCCCCACACCCAGGCCCACTGAGGGGGGACCTGGCTAAACTCAAGCCTCTACTGGATCGAAGGAAGAGCCGCAACCGACGTTTTGACTTACCAGAAGACTGACAGACTTTTTCTTATCACGGACTGCAATGCAAAAGATGTACTATGGTTTAGTTACAGTTGAATGAATGCATGAACTTTGACCAGATAACTGTGATACATACTCCAGCCACAGAAAATTTTTATGTTGTGGAAATGTAAGATTGTTTCTGATTAGTGCAAAGTGAAAAAAAATGATTTAGTACACTTTAAATTCAATATTTCATTTGATTTAATGGAAATTTAAACTGAAAAGTAAAAGGCAACTTCAGCGTGTATTATACTTTGAATTACAGTATGTGCTGATATTACATTATTATCCTCACAGTTAAAAGAAGACCTGATACACTTAAATTTCACTCAAATCACTGAAAGATTACATTTGTGGTTATTTGTCTTTAATCAATTGATATGTGACTATATACCACAACATTGCAGTGGTGCAGCTATGACCTTGAAAAGCCACTTTGAAATGTGTTAAATTGTTAAATTGTTTAGTTAAATTATAGTATTATGCCTTGGAAAATATGACACCAGTAGGTAGCTGCATGTTTGAATCCTCTGCTCCACCAGCATCTATTAGAATAAATCATTGTTGTCTCTTTGAACTAACTCCAAAACTCTGTCAAATGTGAAATTCAGTTCCTGAGAAGTGTTTTGCTAATATGCTGTGGTTTAAAAGTTGAACTGTACTCAAATTGAAATGCAAGATAAACACAGACATGCTGCTCATGTGAGAGTGCCCCTCAAAGGAAATCAGCAGTCTATTGTACACATCTATGCTATAAAATGCTGTCATTGAGTTATCAGCAGGTGTTAGGACATTAAATATATGCATTTTTATTTTGTCAGTGTAATGCAGACTAGAAAAAAAATCTGGACATACTAATGTTAACTGTGGATTGACATGTTCCAATTTGTGTAGGCCTCACTTGTCTGTCCTGTTTACTTAATAGATGACAATAGATGGACAGATGTCAAGAAACTTTTATGTTACTTAATGTAGATAGTGTCATGTCTGTACAGTTGTGGTTTTAATTTAATCTGTTTTGTACAAATGTGTCTTTGTTCTGTACATAGTGTTACTAATTCTGACTGTCTCTGCAAAAGGCAGAGCTGTAGTTTTGATTTCATATTGTCATAACTTTAGTATGTGGTCAGCATCATGCACTGTCCTTCATGTAAAATTAGTGTAATGGTACTTGCATATCTATTTATTAATATTATCCAAATAAACATTTCATGGTACATTTCATGTATCATGATCTAACCATAATCTATTGCCTTTTAGCAGTTTTTAGTCAAAGGGAGGGAGAGACATTGTTGGAACTGAGCCTTAGCTGTCTGGTTCTTTTTTACGTAATAACTGTTTAAATCAAGGTTAAATATGCCTTGTATATATTGTGTGCAATGGGAAATTCAGAAGCAGCTCTAAAAATTTAAGTAACTCAATAGCATGCAGTGCTGAGGGTCATTAAAAAACCATAAAGCTCAAGTGTGGCCTCCTGCTGTCTGACTGAAGCACTCCGGCCACATTCACCAACACAGTGTAATCAGCCCCAGGTCGCCCTTTACCACTGTGGCTTTGATTTATGGACCACTCCAGGTGAGGAGGAAACTGAATCAATCCTGCCGGGCTCATACACAGTGGAGGTTTGTTTAGCACGACATGATCAAGTTATTTGTATGAAGGAATTAGTCTACTGAAGTAAAGCAGCAGTACATGATTTTACAGCCTGTCACAGCTGGCATTCAACCATAATTTGTTACATACAGGATTGTATTTCCAACCATTTCACTTACATACAATAGCCTTGTGATTTCCCCAGTGTGGGACATAGAAATGTTCACATTTTATAAAGCACTGCCTCTGCTGGGCACTCGATGTGCTTTACATCAAGAAACACCTCAAGCATGTGTGTGAATGGGTGTCATACACAAACACTGTAGGCAAGGAGGGTTAAATAAGTGTCTTGCCCAATGATACAAGACAGTACACATTGTTGGGAGCTGGATTCAAATCTCTAACCTGTAGGTCATTCAACCAAATACACTTATGCTGTCAATTTCAATGTCTTGCTCGATGGCACAACAGATCCCTTTAATTTGATGTAGGAATCTATTATAAAATCAGATTCATAGATTCAGATTCAAGAAAAACGAAAAACTCAGATTGTTCTGTAATTTTTTTATTTGAATATCACATTACGTTCACAGAATATTGCACAAATATATTATCTTTTGTGCAAAAGTCCCTAAAGCATCGGTTACCTGACAGGTTAATAGGTGCCCATGTGCAATAATACGTTCCCTGATTGAGATTAACAGTATTATATGCTCCCCACTTAAAACCCAGCAAAGGAGCATTAGATTCCTCCATGGGCTTTACAAAATCACAGTATCAAAGAAAATATATGGCCTTATAAATAATTCTGAGGTTACAAAAAGTGCAAGTCCATATAAAAGACTTGGTGTTCAGTAGCAGCTCAAATGCACCAGTAGTGAATACATTGGCAAAGTCTTCTTAAGCCAGGTTGGCTTTGTTCCCTTTGACAAAGCAGGAAGCAATAAAGCATACGACAGCAAGGGTCACTCCTGCGCCCAGTAAGGTCTGCTGCACCGTGGACAGAAGGCTGATCCTGGACACCAGCTCTTGCTTAATCATGTCAGCCGTGGCATCATCCAAAGTGGCTGTCTGTGGAAAAAACAAAAGTAATACAATTAAAGAAATATGTAAATATGTAAACTATGTAAATATGTATTAAAGAATACATAGTATGCTTTTTAAACTATTTTTAGTTGTTTTTTTTCTACTATTCAGTAATAAACTAAACAGGCATATGGTTTTATGTTTTGTTCACTGTAATCCACAAAATGGTATTTCTGAACTACTAGTAAGTACAAAGCAGTGGGTGGGGATAAGAAAGTAGGTGAAAACAGAGCACTCAAGCCCAAATGCATCTTTGAGTATGCTAATGCTAACTGATTGTGCTTCAACTGTAATATTATTTGAGCATGATATTGCAGAAATATTGTCTTTCAGAAGAGGTACATGTCAGGGAGGACACTAGTATTACTATATCATGTATATGGCAGAGGTGATTTAAAACACAAGTACTTGCCCTGTGTAAATTACAGTCTAGTGCTTTGATGTCATTTGAAACTCTGTATTAATACTTTCCAAGTACAGTTACAATAAATGGATATATAGTGAATAGTGAATAGAGAATAGAGTAAATTAACTGCATCTGTATCTGTATATCTGATTATATTGCACACATACCTCATTGAGCCAGACAACAGGGAATATTGTATAATCCTTAACTTTCTTAAGTATCCTGCATGAGAAAGTACATGTTTACTTAACATATAATAAATAGTAATATTTGCATTATTTCTTTGCATAACCTTGAAATGAACTTACGTGACAACATTTGATGGTCCGTACATCATGTTTACTTGTATTCTCTTGGCAAAATTCAAGGTAAATCCTGTTGTCTAGAGACAATCATACAAAATATTAAGAAAACAGTTCAAACATTTGCCAAGAAAAACTGAAGTATGGTGTACCGGCTCCACGTCGAGGAAGGTTTCATGGTGCTCTGGGTGGGGACTAAGGCCCTGGATGTCTGTTGTTAGGAAGGGACTTCCTAACAAGAAGTGTGGTAGAGAGATGTAGATTGGTTTTCCTGTTCAAAGACAATATCAATACAGAGATGGGGGACAACCAGTCATAATCCAATCTCTACTGTATCCTTTTTAGTTTCCCTACATATTTTCAGTATTTTAAAAAGTACCAATAAGCGTAATTTATTAACCAAAATATGTCTAAACCCAGGTATGAACCCAACTGTGATGTCCCTGTGCATCCCAATTTATTATTGCTAAATTGTACTGTGCTAAAAACTGTATGTTTAATAATGTATGTTTAATAATTAATTAAAAATAAATAAAAATACAGTATTAGTATTATCATAGTAATCTCTCATCAATACAAAACCTTATGACTCCTGCTCTGACTCTGATAGTATATAATATAATATTTATTTATACACTGTACTATACTGAAAATCTTAACATGAATGCCAGTGAGTCATGAGGATCCATATAAAATACAAACTGACCTTTTTGGCAGGAGCTGATGTCCAGTACACCTGCCATGGTACAGTCCTTAGTGACCACAGGGTCCCTGCAGAAGCAGTGATTGTCTGGGTTGTCTACAGGGGAGGCCAGAGTGGAGGGAAGGAGAGAGTAGCGGTACACTTTGATGCCTTTCAGTGAATAGGTCTTCATATAGCTCGCAGAAACAGATCTATGGGGATAAAAACTGTGGTGAGGTACTGTCACCATGCCAACAGGGATCATAGAAAATTCTCCCTCATGTAAGTATTGCTTTGCTCTGCCCTGCCCTCTAGTGGTCATTCACTGAAGAATACATACAGAGAATTGTGATTCTGATGAGAAGAAATACAGTGGTTTCTTTTTATCAACAAAGGGGGCAAATGAGGAAGCATCTGAAGAAAAAAATCAAGTCTGTTATTTGGCCATAGAGGAAAATGTATTCTTTTGTATTTGTATTGTTTTAGGTTTATTTTACCTGTTCCATTGATCATATTACAGTATTGGTCATCCCAGAAATTCAGGTTACTGCGAACAAGATATAGTTAATATAAGTTGTATTGTAATCTTTGGTGAAGTATAAATCAGTTGTTGTTGGCATTGCTCACCTTTCTCCTCTATATCTGTCAATCTTTGACACTTTTGATATGTCATCTTTGCCAGTAAACACATTATAGGGTCCATCAAATGTTCCATTCTAACACAATAAGCAGATTTAATGTTGAAAATGCTGTTATTTAATATAATTGATACTTCACTTTAATATTTAACAATTCTTACTTCAAACAATGCCACTGTGTCTTTCAGCATTGGGTCTGTATAGCCCCAAAGCAGCTCTTTCACTGAACGAGTCTGGTACAGGGATGAGTTGGTGCTCTTGATCATTCGCTCTAATACACCATGCAATCCTTTAGGAATAAGTGAGTAAGCTGCCTGTAATAGAAAAGCGCAAACAATTTATCATCACTGGTATCACTTCAGATTAATTAATCATTACCCAATTTTTGGACCATATGAAGTACACTAAATGTTGTGTTTACATCACTCATCACTTTTAATTATTTATTTAATAACTTGGGTCAGACTGCAGGGCAACCTCATCAACACTGGGTAAAAAAATGACAGGTAATGTACATTGTGTAATTTTTCTGGTGAACGGTCCGTCAAATGCTTTTTCGCCATGGAGATATTTCCCAGTATGGTATTAAATGTTTCTATCTTCATAGAGATCAAACCAGGCCAAGTTACAGGTCAGATCTGTGGAGATGCAATCCTGCTCAGTCAGATTGCCTGTTTTTCAAGGTATTGAGTTATTAAACCTCATGTAATTGAATACATGTAAAACAAAGCTGCTTAATGTGTGTAACATTCCAGGCAAAGCAATGGCACGTCCATAGAAACAACCATAGAAACAAGAAGGTGACCGACCCCCAACCAAAACCTTACATAGTGCACCTTCAGTAACTATATGTATATATATATGACTGTGTCTCTTACGGCTACTGCAAGGTTCAGAATGACCACTTTGTCATCTTCTGGTCCAACAGACATGGAGGGGTCAAAGATGGCACTAGTCGGTAACAAGAAGGATGCAGTGTGATTGGAGTTGAACGTGATATTCTCTTTAGGGAGGAATCTTGTCCTAAAAGAACATTGATTAAATGTCATACAAAATTGTCTTGTTTCTTGATGGCTTACATACTATGTGTAAACCATTTTGGAAACAAGTCTTTATTTATTAATGATGTAGAGGTAGAATTATCAATCAGCCAAAAGAATTGTGTTCTTTGGTTACTTTGTACCACTGTCTTAGAAAGCGCTTACTTGTATGTGTAAGGTCCTCTCTCCATCACCACTGGAACTGACCCATTCTCAATGACCTCTGTGGGGTTTGTCACAGTGAAGAACCAGAACTGCCTGTATACTATTGTCCCTGCTGCCACCCAGTTGTCATACGCGGTCGTTCCGGGCTCGATGACGGCTTCCTAGACCCAGAAGACAGTCTATTTTTATCACGTCTCAAGATCACCAGCAGGCCAGCACATGATTCATGAAAGGTGTGCACACGTTTCTGTTTGCCTCTGCCATGTGTCATTAACAGATGCTATAATTTTCCACTATTGATTCTGAAAATGATTATTCTGCTGAGCTTTTTTTTAATCACGTAAATCTAAAAACATAAAAGAGTCTATTACGCTGTCTTTCTTAATTTGTCTCCTCATTCACCTTGATCTCACATTTTCCTATTATGAGACACCCTACACAGCAACACACAGCAGAATAACATGCCTACCTTGTTCACTGTCCCCTCAATGACACTGTTCCCCAGTGGAATAAGCACACCTCCCAGGATGGCCATAGCCGCTCCAAAAACAGCTCCTGAGATCAGCCAGCACCTTGCGTTGCAGCATCCCATGGTGGCGTGTGTGTGTCTGTCCTTCCTGTGTCCGTATGTCTGCCTCTCTGACAAACTGGGCTCCTTCTGTTACTGCTCAGAGCGACTCTGTGCAGCCTCTGAGTGTTTGTTTGGAACCGGTAGTAACAGAGGCAGCAGCTCAAGGAGGAGGCAGCAGTGGTGGTAACAAATGAGCTGAGCACAGGTAAAGGTTCAGGAACAAGGCCAACACAGGTGCATTATATAATAATATATAAGGGGTGGAAAAAGTCTGAAGTTCAGCTCTGAGACATTGATTATAGTTATCTGTTTTCCTTTTAAGCTGATAAAAACTACATAATTATGGCTGCTCAATAAAACATCTCAAGACCCTGTGGAATTCATTTCTTGCATAGCCTATTAGGAGCACCTGTGATTAGGTGCAAAGGTGTTTTTACTTTGTACGTGTTGCAGGAAAGGTTTATCTATGAGTGGTGAAAGAAGTTATGTGGTCCTATGTTATCAATGGTTACATTATCTTGATCAGTTTCTGTGATAGCATCGATTACAGTTGGGGAGCTGTTTCACTTATTGGTAAATAAATGTGTGTTTTAATATCAAAATGGACTTATAAGCAACGTGTTCCTACGTATATATGCTTTGAAAAATAATTTGCAGGGAATGTAGACTAATGACAGATAGTGGTTGTGTTTTATAGCACAGTGGCGGCCACTGGGTGGCACTATTCTATCATTCTTTAATAGAACTTGGGGCCTATGGGTTACAATTTACATGACGGTATTTGTCAACTATATCCTCATTTAACATCTCTTCGTTTCAGAATTGTGGAGAACCTAATGAATTGCCTGTCAACAGCGTACATAACTGTTGTGTCCCTTTAATACTACAGTAGAGAATTCTCTGTGCACCAGACTGAGAAAAGCGATGGAAGTAACCTTCAATAATTAAGATCTGTAGTCGGTAGGGTTTAAATAGGCACAAAACGGCTCATTTAGAAGTCTCATTTGACATGCGCATTGCACTTTACCCAGTAGAGAGACAGTGGTGCCATTAGAAACATAATTTACATGTACTTACCACATGAAAATGCCACGAGTACACAGGGAGAAAACCACAGCAATATAAACGTTCAATGCAGTTCTTGCCGATGCATACATAGGCCGATGCAATTAAAGACATAATTTAGCACATTAATATAATATTTCCTAGTCTATTCATGCATAATAACATAACTTAAAAGTTCTCAGTGGAATATATTGGGAATAATTAACGAGGGTCATAAAAAAAGAATTCCTGATAGCTACACATTAATTTACACTGTAGTGTTGCTACAAAGTAAATCAATATAGTTATTGTCGTTTTATGTCAAGTCAAGTTGCAAAGGAGCAAAGTAAACACGTGTAATTCAAAATAACAACGCAGATGGTTAACATACAGTGATTTGAGTAGGAGGCTTTTACTGTGAAAGGGCAGAGCGGAAGCTTGGCTGCTGTGTCCCTGCAGAGGCTCAAAGCCCGAGCACAGCTGCACTCCTCTCAGAGGTGATAGTGCTGCAGCGAATGGAGGCGAGCGGCTGGGAGCGCCACAACCACCAATTGTTTGGATGTCTGAGTAGTTTTTATTTGGATGTCGGACTTTTACTGAGACATATTTAACCGCGTTTAAGCAACCACCCTTTAAAAAAACTGGGTAGCTTTTTCTTTTACTAAGCAGCGATAGCCTGGCGTTTGAAAAAGGGCGTGTGTGCGGGGAAAGGCAGTTTAACCATTTCATGTAGGTAGTCCGTGTATATATATGCTATTGTAGATCTGTTCACACCATCTGGGTCTAAAAGACACCGTGGAAGATGGGATGCACACTGAGCACAGAGGACAAGGCGGCGGTGGAGCGCAGTAAAATGATCGACAGAAATCTGAGGGACGACGGAGAGAAAGCGGCCAGGGAGGTGAAGTTGCTGCTGCTCGGTAAGACACTCACACAGGAGGAGGAGAAGATGGGCGTCTGAGCGGTGGTGAAGTTCATGTGTGTGTGCATCCACTGCGGCCTGAGCTGTCAGGACCGAAGCACCATGCGGCAAAAGCTTTTAGCTGTCTGTTTCTGTTTGAGTTTGTACTGCTTGATACTGTCATTTCTGTGTTACGACAGTTTCAATTCCGCATATCCATCATAGCACACCCCCTGTTCTGAGAGATGAACTTAACACTGCATATTCAAGTATTGCCAATGCCATGGAGAGTAAATTGGCTAGACCGTGTTTCTGTTTCCACACATTTTTAATACGAGACTATGGTGGTACAGGCACTCATCATTTCAGTTATTGATTACAATTTGGAGGAAACATGTCACTTCTCTTCTAATTAAAAATTACTGATTAAAGTTTATATAAAGTTTCTTCTATATATTTATGACATTATTCAGCAAAATTTATAATCATACTATTAATGTATTGGTCAGTGAGACTCCCCTGTTAATAGGAAACACTTTGATGGTTTGCTTGGAAGACAGTTGAGTATATGCCTAACTCACACTGTGAGTTTATTTTGCTTTATCGCAGTATTTTGTCCAGTAAACCATCTGTATCGACTAAACCCTTCTAACAATGGAACATTTCCTCTCACATAATCTAAGCAGGGAAATGCTGTGAATGCAGTGCAGTGAAAGTAGGGCCATGGCTCATTAGGGGCCCCAGTGAAACCAGATAAAAACTTTATGCAGAGCAGGCTAATCTTTGCAACTTTTTGTATTTGAGGCTAACAGATTCTGCATCAATCTGCATTGCCCATTTTATTTGTAGAAATTTGCCTGTAATCAGAATACTGTGGCAACTTACAGTGGGAAGTTATGCAACTGACATCTAAAGTTAACTTTTTTATGTCTGATATGATTCTAGGGGATAAAACCCTATTAATGAATACAAGCTTGGCTCTTATCTACAGAATAGTGCATGTTTTGTGTTGTTTCTATTTCTAGCCCCCTTTTGTGTGTTGTCATATCTTCAGTCAATTGTGGCCCTGTGTGCACAACAGTAAATGTTTGCATCTAGAAGCCTGGCCATGTGTAAATAAGAGACATTACTTACATGTGGGGAAGCACTGTTGTGATTGTAAACAGAGACCATAGGTGCAAAAATTTTCCACCGGCCCCTGAACTGGCTAGCTGGGAAATGTTGACATGCACACACATGTTATGTGGGTTACCAGGACACACATTCTCAATCTAACACAGGACTATCAAATACTAAATGTACAATCCATTCTGGAAAACGACCCTTTTATGGTGGTAAAAATATAAAAATCCACAAAAGTGAAAAAAATAATAAAAATCAACACCTCATGAATGACTACTAATTTAATAATGCTGTGCATGTTTTCATTAGGTTGCTTTTTAACATCTGGAAAAGGGCGCTTGTGACAAATTTTTGTAACTCCCTTACCTTTAACATTGTTTAATAAGTACCACTTTTCTAAATGATAAAACAAATTAGTCTTCACCTCATAACACTACTGTCTACCTTGGATTACTTATACAGTTTGAACAAATCCGTGGTTTTAAAACCATGTCCTTCTGATATGCTTCATTTTTGTCTTGGTGGCAATTTGTTTGAACAAGCACACATATTTTCATGTTAAGGACTGACTGCATTCTTCAGGTGCTTGGAGGCCTGAATGAGCCTGCTGATTAAAAGCGAGCAAGTTAGGTCAAGTTTCTGCTATGCTGCTGTTGGTGCAGATATGTCTGTTGTGACACCAGTTCTCTAGCTATGTTTGAACTCTACTGTATAGTGTGTGACCTGCTGAAATCCTCACCCAGTAGCTGTTTTTGTGTTATAGCCGTCGTTCGGGCCTTTTCCCCCTGCACACATCTGTCATGGCACCATTTCCTGTCATTTGTATGGGACCTACTCAGCTCTGTAGCCAGGTAACGGACAGTGAGGCTCTTGAGTTACTACTGCCTGAAGTGACAGCAGACTGACGCCAGGAGAAAGGCAGAGATAGCCAGTAAAATGAGAACACAGCTAATGACTGAGGCATTAAATATGAAAGAGCAGTGTGCCGCAACTAACCACACACACTGTTATGAGTTTGAACTGAGTTTATCCAGTTGGAAAAAAGCACTACCATAAAGATGCCATTTAAAGGTTGTTGATTAGAAAATGTGGTCACTATTTGTTTGGTGGCTTACTCAAAAATTGTTGTTCCTTTTATTACTACAGTTGAGCATTAGTAGTCTCTAGTCTCAATCGGTCCATGGACTCTTTAATTTGTCAACTAATATAAATTAGGTCAACTATTTTAACAGAATTGTAAAAATGAGCAGAACGGACTGTGTACAGTGAACTTATTCTGCCATTTACATAGAAATACAAAGTTTACTAGTACTTGTTGGTGAACTTTGGGTCAAATATGATTGGATAATTTAGATTTGAGTATAGAGAGCTTTTACTAATACCACTACCCTTTAGTTAACAAATTGATGCACAGTGTATGTTTTTAGTCAAAGAGCTTTTTTTTAAGCATTTGCAGCCATAGTTGTCTCAGTGATGGACTAATGGACCTAATGAATATAAAGCATTTATAACATACTAAATTGTTAATTAGTGTTGTCATGATACAAAAATTTCAACCTCAATTTTGATACTAGGGAATAAACTCGATATTCGATAGCAATGATACTATGATTATAATTATACACTTTCTTCAGGTAATGGAATGTAATTTTCAACATTAAATCACTCTTATAACCAATTTTGAGTTTTAGCATTGAGTTAGGAGTTAGGAGTTATTTCAATAGGCAACCCTATTGGTACTGTTTGAAACTGAGCTGCAGAGAAGCTATGGTAGAATTTGCCATTTAATTGGAGTTTTGAGCTTTTGGTTTTATTGATGATTAATTGGTATGCTATTACAGGCCCTATTCACATGAAACAAAAACTGGCTCATCAAAATAATTGTGTGTAGGTTTATTTTTTGTCATTTCCCATTACGATATCACTACCTGGGCTCAGTACTAATAATTGAGCTGAGACGTTGCTTTATCATAATAAATTAGGCCCAGATGATATCAAAAAAATGTGTCACAATTTAGTTTCATCATATACAAAAAAGAAAATGCCAGTCTGTGATGATTTCCTGAACATAAACAATACAGAAAGAATACAGATATTTGTCGTTTAACATCCCTGTCCAGTTTCTTCTCCCAGACTCTGGTCCAAACCACTTGCTTTTACTGACAGAAGATTGGCTGTGAGCCATTCAATTGAAGACCCATCACTGACCCTTTAGATTGACTGAATCTCGATCTCTATTGATTTAATTGCAGAGCCCAACAATAAATGCAGAATTCTGCATTTCTCTACAATGTCAAATGTCTCTGTGGACTGTCTTGTCTGTGCCAGTGTGTGCAGGAGTAGAGCCATCGTGTCATCATGTTGTCAGGATGATCAGTCCTGCTAATTTAGTTTGGTTATTTCTTTTGGTGGGTAGCATAACTCCAAACCTGCTGGAATCCTTTAGTGTCGCTGAATTAGTGAATTTGTCTTTTAAGAGCGAGACGGAAATCAGAAACTGAGTGGTAAAATAGAAAAAATAAAAGATAGAAATACTGGGAATAAGAGATTATTTGGATTAAATGTAAAGTAGCAGTCAATGATTAACACATTAATATAATGGTTAACAAACCAGATATACTTCATTAACATTGTGAGCTCAGTCTCAAGTCACTGAAAATGTAATACATCTTAAGGACTCAATAAAAAAAATAAATTGGCAGAATTAATCACATTATCGAAAAAGCTTTAACCTGATATGTATGAGACTGCTCTGTATAAAATTGTGTTTAGCCAACTCAAATGTTTAAACATAGCTAGAAGTTATATAAATGCTTAGAAATAAATATATTGCTTTAATGTTTTTTTTGTTTTTTTTATCACTTTCACCATTTACATGATTAAACACATTCTCTTAAACAGGTATGCAAGTAATTTTTGTCACAATAGTAAATGTAGTTCTTGCATGTAGTGTGGTTCTATTATGCAGTCCTACTTCCTACCCCTTCCAGATGGAGCACTGAAAAGGCTTGTTCCATGTTGTGGACACACAAATGCATACACACATAGTCCCAAGACAATAAGATGCAGCATATGGCTAATCTTGAGTGGAAAAGGCTCTGCCATTGTGGCCGTTTTAATCACATTTGTCTATTTTTCTGCAACAGTCCCCCTGCTCTGCCTCTGCAGTTATTGGGAAAAATCCACCTGGGGAAGTTCCAAAAGTGAGATGTGGTTAAGGTTAGCAGATAGAAGCTGCTCTGTTCTCTGTGGAAGGAGCTGAAAACCATCAATTTGCACTGGAGGGGTTAGCCTGGAGTTTCTTAAAATAGGCCAAACCACTCGAAACCGAAAACAGCTGGTGTAGAGGTTTGGGGTCTGCAGGCTTTTTGACGTGGGCGTATCAAAGGTGTGGGCGTGTAACATGACTCTGCATAAATACATTAAGGCACATAGGTCAGGCTTGTGGTTCCACATATGAGTCAAAGCAGGAAGAAGACTCTTTTGGGGCTGGTCTGGCCTCAAGGCCCCAGCAGGAGCCACACCCGCGTGATATCACTGTTGTTCTGCTGCCTCATCCAAGTCCCCCACATACACGTTATACTGTAAAGCAGGGATTCTCAAGCATTTCTTTTCAAAATTTTACTAACTTTCTAACAATTTCCGAGTACTACCAGGAAGAGACTAAAATGTTTCTTAAATGGGCCAGATTTGGATGAAATCATGACTGAATTGGATTCAAACCAGGTCTATACTACAAGCCCCTACTATAATAGAGGGGTAGGGTACTAACTAAAGAAAACAAATAAACTTAATAATACATCACTGTAGAAAACAAAGTACAAGATCCACTGCTGTAAGACATTCAATAATAAGGTCTAATTTTGCATGTTGCATCTTTTTTCCTTTGTTTTTTACACACATGGTCCAATTCACTTCAAAAGAGGAATTGACCAATCTGCTCCACCTTACCCTTGTTATTCTCAAACACAAAATAAGTCCAAATAATAAGGCATAAAAAACTATCTTTGTCTTTATCTGCAGTCTGATATGACTGCCCATGTTGCACTCTGCAGTGCTATGTGAAGTGCTCTGGCTGAGCTGCTGTCCAGCCTCCATGTCCAGCTGCGCGGCCGTCTGTATGCAGCCTCCTAATGGCTTCACACTGCTCTGTGTTTGCCCTCAGAGCACACAGAGCCCCCCCTCTCTGGAGCTCTCCAGCACCAGAGTAGTGACAAGTAATTAAAACAATGTGTCCTCAGGTGAATCTTATCCAATTATACCAACACTGAAGTGCCAAGGCAGAGCTTTCAGCATTCTGCCAGTGCTAGAAGGTTTATAGGAATTCAAACACAATTCTTGTCAACAGAATCTGTGTTTTGTTACACACTAGTCTTAAAGCTGACCCTGCTATCGGTCTAACAACTGCTATTATTGTGTTATGTCATCCATATTTGAAGAAACATGTCGAAGTAGGATGTTTACTTTAGTGGCATAGGTTATGTTGGTATCACATCATGGTTTATTCATGCTTTTCAATGCAAGTTTGGCCTTTTATTTACTTCTTAATATTTTTGCAGTGTATGCTCTAATATATGGTTAGCTGGTGTAGAATCTACCAAAGTACAGGTTGTTGAAATGTTGAAAGATTGTGTTCGCAGCTCTCTGATTACCAATGACATTGATATCTGAAAACCCCAATGCAGAAGACGGCAGTAGATTTATTATGCTTGGCAGGCCCTGTATAAAGCCAATATATCGCACACAAATTTTTAAAGGCTTACCTCCTCAGGTGACTGTGGACTTGAGATGCCCTGGAATAAAGAGAGCTGTTGCCATGGCACTGTGACGTGTGAAATTGGCAAAGTCGCGTTGACGACCGTCTGATTCTCTTCATCCTCTCTCTTCATCCTCTCTCTCTGCCTCCCTCCTCTTCTGTTCTATTCATCATGCTGTTGCCTCATCGGTCAACTACAGCGTCAACAGTCTAATTCGCCGTCTGTGCCAAGTGGCTTTCCATCACCATTTGACACTGTGTTCTTCGGCCCTTGACAATATTTCCAGTGGAGATGTGTTTTATTGCTTAATATGGCCCACACTAAGACAGAAAACCTGCACAGTAAAACTTCTTAATTACAAGCAGGCCAGGGTTAGGGTTGCAATATATATTGCAATCTGATCTAAACAGATTTTGAATTGTTGCAAATTGGCAAACACTTGCACTAGGGTTAGGGTTATTGCACTAGTACTAGTTTCGCAGTTTGTCTCTCTCAAATGCTCTTGAAAGTGTGAAGCTTGAACTGAATATTAGGCTACTAATAAAACATAAACCACCAATCAGTGTTTCTCAGGTCAGATTTTTTTTTAACACAAATGTTCAGCCCTTGGCCTGGTCAAAACATAAATCTACACTACAACTACTCCCTGGTCCGTGTAATAAGGGCAGATTAAATTATGGATTTTTATTTTATTTTTTTCCTTGTGCTCTTTTGCCTTGCAGGTGCTGGTGAATCTGGAAAAAGCACAATAGTCAAGCAGATGAAGTAAGTATATCATATTGTCTTGTCTTTACTGAACACCTTTCATATGCACAATACCGCTGTGTAGACATTATTCCATAGTATTAATTTTCCACAATACAAACCATGACGATAGCTGGATACTGTTACACAGACTACAAAAGCCTTGTGTGTAATGGATTGTGACGAGAAACAAGCACAATCTGTCACTGTGGATCCATACTTTGTCCATTAGTGGTCTTTTGGATATAGCACATAGTCAACAAACTCAATGTGAGGTATACCGGTAGGGATAAATCAATAATGGTGTGTTCTTGTTGCTGTGTACATTTTTAAATCTGTGTATTTATTTTTGTAGAATCATCCACGAAGCAGGCTACTCAGAAGAGGAGTGCAAACAGTACAAGGCTGTAGTCTACAGCAACACAATCCAGTCTATCATTGCCATCATCAGAGCCATGGGTCGCCTTAAGATCGACTTTGGAGACCCAGGGAGAGCTGTAAGTGGTGGAGAATGCAATTCAGATATATAGCTTTCTTTAGCCATAGTTTAACCTTTGAGTGGACTGACAGACGCATGGCTGTCAATCTGCATATTTGGTCACTGCCTCCCAGTCTCACAATCGCACCTGTGGGTTCTCAGGACTCACTGTGGTTTCAATTTCACTTATTGTTATAATTCCAACTTGTTATTGTATGTATTTGACAGCCTTAATCTACAAGGCTGCCAAAGTACTGCTCACCATAGACAGTTTCCTATAACAAACCAATGATTTGTGCTATCTTGCTTAAACAAAGGCATATTTTTGGTGGTTTCTATGTGTGATTTCACCCATATGTCTAACAGATTGAGCTTCCATTCAGCTGTGAAGCTGTTAATTATAAGGAGGTGTAATGACTTTGATGGTTGCTTAATCACATTGACACAAGCCCCTCTCTTCTGTAGGACGATGCGCGGCAGCTGTTTGTGCTGGCGGGCTCTGCAGAGGAGGGCTTCATGACCGCAGAGCTGGCAGGTGTCATTAAACGGCTGTGGAAGGACGGAGGGGTCCAGGCCTGCTTCAGCCGCTCTCGCGAATATCAGCTCAACGATTCAGCAGCATAGTGAGTCACACACAGTCACTCATAAACACCAAACAATGGGGAAAGTGAGTTTTCTCTGCCAGCTCCTGAGTCATGCTCTCAATGGAGCCTCACGCAGCTTTATTGGAAAAATATTGCACCTCTGGTGGCCAGAAGGACAAATAGGGAAAATGTGTAGATTTAAATGTCCTACCTTTGTGTCTGTAAGACCCATTCATGTGCACTACTGTGTAGACCACTCAAATATGTCAGTTTGGACTTTTACTCTGTCAATATTTGCACTTCTGAGGCTAAATAATTTATTGCTCTAAGTGTTTGTGTTATGGGAAACGTAGAAGCCTTTGTTTCTGGTCTTGTGCAATAGCCACTGGCATAGATGCTGTTGACATCATCAGAAGTCAGCCCCTTACTGGGCAGAAAGCCATATGTCTTGTTTTCCCTTTGAGTATCAGCAGTTACATCACAGATTAAACCACCAGTGGTTTTCCATTTTTAACTGCTTCTCTAATCTGAAGAGCTTGGAGTGAATGGGGACCAGTGTTGGGGAAGCTCCTTTTGAAAAAGTGATTCGTTTTCCATTACTAGTTACTTGTTAAAATTAAATATGTGCTTTTATATTTTATTAAAGGCATTTAAATAGAGGTAAACAACAAAGTGGTTGTTTAAACTGGCTGAAATGATGTAAGATTGAAGAAATGTAGAAATTGGTAATATCTACACAGCTCTGCTATAAGCGGGTTATCTCTGCCATTGAGGTGTTGACCTGACTGCAGAAGTCATGTCTATGGGACTTTCCCTGTTAGCACATCCAACATGCTCCTTGTTTAAATTGTAACATTGCCCAGTATTCTGCAAAACAAATACAATCTTTTCAGTTGTTATTGTTTTGTTTGTTTTAGTGTGAAGGCCAATGTATTTAATTCTTTGTAGTCCAAATCTATTAAAGGTGATTGTGTATTACTCACAAATGAAACTTGGATCACAAATAAGTGCAAATGAATTGTATCTTAGCCTTTTGTCAGGTAACAGAAGGGTCCATTTGGGCCCGTGTCAGTGCATGGGTGGCCTGTAGCAGGTATTGTGTGAAGTTGAAGAGAGTGGGGCAGATGGTTGCTCTCACATGTAGGGGATTTCCTATCAGCTGTAAATCTGAACCCACTAGAGACACAGAACTCCTTCTGAACAAGAGAGACACACTTTGTGCTCGCTTTGAGGCAGCAGTACTAACCACTGTGCAATCACATCCAATTTCGGCACAACTCTGTCTAACTGGCCTAGTTATGTAGTAATAAGAGTAATAGTGGAACAGCTGCTAAAGGGTATGTTATCATCATATTAAAATTAATTTTTTTTTACTCATAATATTACGGAAGTTTGGAAACGCCTGATCTGAAGCATGTAAATGTGTCGCAATACAACCAACACAACTTCACTTTTCTCTTACTGTCTTTGTTTGCCCTTTCTAACAGCTACTTGAATGACTTGGACAGGATATCGCAGGCTACCTACATTCCCACACAGCAGGACGTCCTGAGGACCCGAGTCAAAACCACAGGAATTGTTGAGACACACTTCACATTCAAGGACCTCCACTTCAAGTGAGAACTTCTACAGTTTTACACCTGGCTCTTTCTTGCAGCACTGGTCTTATAGGATCTGAATACTGAGACTCAGCCAGCCTGTAGATCCAGCTGCTGATGCACAGGCTGTGAGCATCGTTTATGACATAGAAACCAAAATAAACAGGAAGGAAGGAGTTGGCCTGAAAATGTCATGTCACACTATATTGTGTAAAATACGGCTATCCTTTTTAATGCCTAAATTATAATTATTATAAATTATTATATTATTTAATAGATTGTAAATCAGTTGTTGCTACTTTAGTATTCTGTTGAAGTATTAAGATCTTTTCTTTATTTTCATTATCATTTAAAATCTGCCTGGTTTTAATTGATTGTCAAGCCAAGTGCCAAGTTAAAGTAATGATTTTGAGACTTTTTTGTTGTTTGAGGATCACTCCTCAAATATTTTCTGGATATGTTCTGGAACTAGCAGGAAGACGGCTGATGCAAAAAAAAAAAAAAAAAATGAGCCAAAGATGTTAATTTTGTCTTTTTGTGTACTTTAACTTGTTGGGTTCTTTTTTTAAAGACAACATGGTAAAGTGTATTTACCTTGTTGACATATTTCGACTGCTAGCGGCAAGCCATCTTCAGAACTATCACAGGTGTTGATGTGTCGTATATCAGCAGTTGTTACTTCTTGTAGGCGTGGTCAGCCTGACTGAACAACACATCATCACCAACACCAGTGACAGTTCTGAAGATGGCTTGCACCTAGCAGCTGAAACATGTCAACACTGTAAATGCTCTTTACTGTATTGTATTAAAAAAAGAACCCAAGAAAACGAGAACCCAAGTCAAAAAAAGGTTTAGTTCACACTTTTCATATTGCATTGTGAGCATCACCACCTTTTTCTCTCACATGCAGAATGTTTGATGTGGGAGGTCAGAGGTCAGAGAGGAAGAAGTGGATTCACTGCTTTGAGGGTGTGACAGCCATCATCTTCTGTGTGGCCCTGAGTGACTACGACCTGGTGCTGGCTGAGGACGAGGAGATGGTGAGTTATTTAGCACTGACTCAAGCACAAATGACTGACCACAACAACACTGCAGCGACGTGTTCTTTGTTTGGGCAGAATGGGCCAGCATAGTTTCCATCGTGAATGTTAACAGATCAACAGCGACCCGGCCTGGCCTCTAATGCAGCCGTACACATAATCTCTCCTTTGTATCTCACAGAACCGAATGCATGAAAGTATGAAGCTGTTTGACAGTATCTGCAACAACAAGTGGTTCACTGACACGTCCATTATCCTGTTCCTCAACAAGAAGGACCTTTTTGAAGAAAAGATCAAGAAGAGTCCCCTCACCATCTGCTACCCTGAATACGCTGGTGAGAATCTGCTTATAGTTGCTTTAATAACACTATATATTATAAAGCATTTAATTAATGGACCTCAACAGTCCTGTTCCACTTCACTGCTGTCTGCTGTGATTATGGAAGTCAATTTCACATTCATGTTCTCCATAGACTTCTGGATAAATTCAAATTTTAAGAGTTTACACTGCAAAGACTAAAGGGCTACAGTATGTAGTAACTAATGTCCATAACACGATTGTTTTCAGTCCAGAAAAGACATGTAAAACTTGATGTTAAAGGTATGACTTAGCAGTTTATAAACTTTACAAAAAAGTTGTTCTATAAAAAGGAAGGTCTTGTGTTCATTAGTCAACACATGGCCGATTAGCCCCAATCAAGCTTTCAGACTTTTGAAAAACTTTTTTGGTATATGGGGAAAATGAATGGGGAATTTACTTTCCGGAACCAAGTAGTCTGTGGTCAGTGGTCACTTAAAGGACAGAGACAGACAAATTTCCCAGTCATTGATGCATTAGAGAGATATGACATGAGGACACACATAGATTAGATAAAAGCACACATTTCTAACAGTTTCCTCTCCTTTGTCTCCTTTTGTAGGCTCTAACACGTACGAGGAAGCTGCCGCCTACATCCAGTGTCAGTTTGAAGATTTGAACAAGAGAAAAGACACAAAGGAGATTTACACCCATTTCACATGCGCCACAGACACCAAGAATGTGCAGTTTGTGTTTGACGCTGTCACTGACGTCATTATTAAGAACAACCTAAAAGACTGTGGCCTCTTCTGAGGACGACAACAGCAAACAATTTTTACGGGTAATTATCCTAGGGTTTATTTCAAAACATGGATGGGACATGGAACTCTGGAACTGGAAACGGCCTGCTCCACCTGTAGATAAGCACTGGCTGTTCAGATGAATATAACAATGTTATATTTTTGTTTTTGTGTCCTTGGGCAAGAAACCCCTTACATATGCTTGAATCTGTTTGTGGTGGCACAGTCACACACAGTCACACTCTGAGCACTGGATGACTAATGTTTCAAGCTGTGTGTCTAGAAAAGCACTGTTTGAGACATACATTTTTAATAATAACATCTTCTGTATGTCTTGACTGTGATGTTTTAACTATAGATGTTTGTAGCAGTGATGGGCAATATACATAGTACAAAGATACAAAGTAATACTATGGCAAATATTGCACTATCAAACATATATTAAATTATTTTTTTTATAAAAAAGGAATTTAACCTTCATTTAATGTGCAGAAAACTAAATGAAAATGTATTAAAATATATTTTAAAAAGAAACAATATTCTAATATTGAAATATTGATATTTTGGTAACAATCCTCCTATCACTAAGTTGTAGTATGACTACAGAGAGGTTAAATTCTTTATGAGCTTTAAGTCTCTAAGTCTTTAAGTATCATGTATTGTCCTCATGAATTCCATCTGTCTCTGTCCTCAGGCAGTGGAGCCAGCCTGATGTGCATCTTTTTGCGGGGAAGATGATGAGAGAAGCTCAGAGGATCATGGACCAGTGCTGTACTATATGCCACTTTTACACAGCTTTATTTATGTTTTTGTCTTGGGACATTTTGAACAAACATTTCAACATCTGTGTAGAATGTCTCATTGTAAAAGCATCAATGCAGATTTCAACACTTTTTTTTTTTTTTTGTCCTGTTCATATTTCAAGGTGAACTTTTCCTTCATTTTCTGGAAAAGATACCTTTGTGGTGGAAATACATCTTTTCTTCCTTTATTTTGAAGGGAGAAAAGTAGTTTGAGTCTAGTTTGTTGGTACTTGTGCCTTGGCATGCCTTTACTGCGTCCTGTTGCTCGTTCTGTTGCCTGCTGATCTGTCCTGTTTTCATATGTTTGTGTCCCTGCTATTTTCTATGTGCACACCAGTGAGCTATTGGAGGAAGCAGATTTTCCCCTGTTTAAAGGTACATGGTTCCCATATGGTAACCCAACATGTAGCTGCTACTGTCCCCATCTTGCCCGCCATGACAATGAAAGGCCTGGCTAGCCAACAGTGTACTGAGGTCTTTATTGTTACAAATAGCCCTTACTTCTGGGGTTTGGGTTTTTTAACAATGTGTAAATTGTCCATTCTTCCCTGTTACTTAGAAAAATGGAGTGTTAATGGCACTGACTCTGTTCATACACAAGAGTTTTAAATGATCCGAGTAGGCACATTTTATTGTACATTTTTATTGTATTTTAAGGAGAATTACTGAACTACAGCAGACAATGTAAAAGTGAGTATGTGGTTTCTTTAGGATTGAGACATACTTTTACTTCCTGTCCCTGCAATCCCTGCATTATCAGCGGTCAAGTTAACACAACATGGTGAGACAACCTGGTCTGCAATTGATGATCAGTCTACTTTGCCAAGATCCAGAAACATTGTTCTTTTCATGTAAAGAAACTGCCACAACTGTCTATGTATGTGTATGTTCTCCACAGATGGAGAATATTTGTAAACTCATCTCCCTTATTTTGCTAATAAAACCATTTACAAACTACCTAAATGATTTCTACTATATTCACACATTTTACAGAGTCTACAATGTAGTACTATTCTTATCGTGCCCCTTTTTTCAGTTTTTAATGTCATGCAGTCATCACATGCTTGCCTAATACGCAAATACCTCTGACTGTAGTTTTGTGTTTCCTAAATGAACTTTGAGTTGTTTGCACAGTCTCAAATCCATGTGTGCTGGTAACTAATCATGTTTTGTTAAGAAAACAATGCCTAATACTTACCATCAATACTGTTTTATGTTTTATAATGTAGTTTGTTTTATGCAGATGGCTGTGACGTAAAGCTCTCGCATGACTGCCAGGCTCTATTATTTATGTCATACTGTATTTCTCCCAGCCATAATTTGCATTGTAAATGTACTGTGGCGTTGCCTGATGGCTTAGTTTTTAACAATAGTTCAAAGTCAAATTTGTAGGTTGGTTGTACTGGAGTATACAACAATTGAAGCAGCTACTTTTATATAAACGAAATGGATCAAATTGTTTCTGTAAACTCACTAGTCTCTTTGACCTGTGCTTTCATTATAACATGTCTTTGAACTGTCTTTTATAGTTTACCTTTCTCAGCTAAAGGAAGATTCATCTTTTCAAGTGCTGTTGAAGCATTTAAATGTCACAAATCTCTCATTTTCCCATGCAATATGTTGATTTACACGCAGGAGGCAAGACATGTCAGTTCAAAAGAAAGCACAGTGTGACAAATATGAGGAGCAGCGGATTGGTACAGAAAAAACACAGGAAGGGTGGCTGGCTGCAGGGATGCTGCCAGTTGGAGTAGTAGCATGTGTCTGTGGGAGGGGGCACATATGTTGTATTTTTAGCACCTTTTAGAGATGAGAGAGCAAGTCTAAGACACTGAACAAGGAGGCAGCCATGATGAAGCTGTAGTGTAAAATCAACAGTAGTGACACTGAGAGGATCTCCCTGCCATAAACTCAGGAAAAGGGATATTTGACAAGTGAGTGAAGAGGAGAGGCCCGTCAACACAACAATACAAGCATTATTTCTGTTATTTGGCCGCTGTGTTTACACTCTGTGCTACCCTTTGCCACTTTGTCCAGGGCTCACAGTTGGCAACACAGATAAGGCAGGCTTATCAGCTCAGTGTTGGACAGGATGCATTGTAACTCCCAGCAGACACACTCTGAGGTTGGATCGGCACTTTCTTCTGCACTGCAGAGCTTTCTTAGGGTACAGGATGTGATAACAGGTCATTGTACTATGGCTATTTCTATTTAAAACAATATTACGCTATTAGGGTGAAAAATCAATGAAAAGCTTAGCTGACATTCCCCTTGAGAGACAGTGTTGACCAGACCACCCTTGAAGATTTTATAATTTGCCATAAAATGTGCTGTTAGTGTATTTATGATGTACCACACTATACTGCTTCTGTACACTAGTATACTGCTTCTTATATTGTAAACATGTGAATATGGCCCACATGATGTAGTAATAATAATAATAATGCACTGGAGTTATACAGTGCCCTCCTTGACATCCAAAGCACATTACATTGTATTATTCATTCATTGAATAATAGAATGCAGCTGTGGTTACAGTAGTAACCACAGCTGCCCTTGCCTAAGGACACAACAACAGTTAGCATAAGAGCCACTGCTGCCCCACTAACTGACCAACCTCTGTCTTGTTTGGCTTCTAAGACCTGACAATAACAGGCAGTGACAAGCAAGCAAATGAACTGTTCAAATGTTTTAAATTATTTTCATATTTCAGTTTCTATAAACATAAATCATTATGATTATGGTTATTAACATGTCATATTAGGCTTCTGTAAATTTTTATGAAATTATAAAATTTCTCTCTAATTTTAATCTCACAACATAAATTTGAATTAAATCTTCAAAGGGCACCATATAAAATGTTAATATTTTATTTAATTTCTTCCTAATCTATATAAAATGGTTTACTGTTGCCTGAGGAAAACATTTAGTGACTACAGGCATTAAAATGCCATCCACCCAGTACAAAAGTGTTTTTTGTGCAGCCTGCCTGATTGCTCTTACTACTGATCGTTTTAAACCCAATTACATTTTTCTTCATGTATATGGGAACGCAAGAGGGTGTGACCAATTGATTTACATGCCTGTTGTGCTGCTGCCTGACTCTTTTAATGAGCTAATCTGAATGTTGTGTACAAAAGATGCGTGAGTATTTTATCTGGTTGTATACAAGTGGATACTGCACACATTTCCTCTCCAGCTGGATGCCTGCCTCTGTGCTTCTGCTGTCACCTGATATTCACTGGTCACTCTCATTCATTGCACAGATACTGGCTTTGATCTGAGTATGCCCAGCTACATAGGCTACAGTGGTGCACACACAAAGTCTTTTTCCCCATGATGTCATTGATTCCCAGCTCCATGGCAACAGTGAACGGCAGTGATGAAGAAGAGCGATGGAAGTGCACCCATATTTCCTCATAGTCAGAGGATGAAGTTGTTAAAAATAGATTCTAGGTGTCCAGGAGCATTGTAGTGGGAGCAGGTTTGAATAGATCCAAAGCAGGCTGCCATTGTCATTAAGATTGCAGTAGGAACATATTTAAAGGTGCACTTTTAGTTTTCTTGGAGACAGTCTGGCACCATCTTGATTTATTTCATTATTGCTTTGACTGTAATATTCCACATTATGGCATCGAGTCCTTTTCAATCTTGTGTCTATTCAATTATAGGTATTTTATTGCTTGAAAAACATGCATTGTACTGTGAGTGGGGTCGCCTCTCCACAAATCATGACCTCTTCATGAAGATAGCAGTAGAGGTAGATAGATAAATTGTTTAATGCCATAATGCAGCGACATACAGGCAAAGCAATAACCCTGCAACAGAAAAGTGAGTTCACCTTTGAGCAAGATGTACTTGTTCTAATTATCCCTCATGTTTGCTGTATATTTGTGAGTGATTGTCTTTGTAATGCAGCTAAATATTTAGAATTTTATTGAATATTCATCCTGAATGTTTTTAAACAAATTTCAAGGACTGGAATTTTCACAATGAAAAAAAATCCAGAACCTGAGCAACTGTTCCTTAGACCATGAACAATGCTGTATTCTTCAACTGGCAGGCAGAATGAGTGGTGTAACTAAAGACAGAATCTGTTTCTGTTCTGCTCAGTGCCATTAACTATGAAACAACAGAAGCTCTGAGCCTGCCATAGGGATATCTGAATTAGACCCTGTTTCCACCTCTTAACATTCCGCTGTGCTCACTGCATAGACCCCACTGAGGGCCTGCAGTAGGTCACATGAGCACAACATTACAGATACTGTAGCCAGACCCGACCCACAGTTTACAAATATAAATACACATAATATGCATAGGGCTCACAGAGTCAGAGGACATACAGGGCATAGAGGGTGAATGAAGCACGTGAGGAGATTGCCTGGCCTCTGTACTACTCTCCAAACACTTTCACATGTGTATTTATTGTGTATGTGGCTAGCCAGATATGTGAGGACCCAAGTGTGTAACCCACTACTTGCTATATTACAGTATACATAAACAATACTACACAACTATTTCTACATTGGCACAGTAGTGGTAAAGGGCCTATAAACTAGTTTTGATCTGTTATAATGTTCTATCCCCATCAAAAACATACATGGAGTTGTGTTTTGTTTTTTATTCATCTTTGGCATACACACCTGCATGTGTAAGCTGTGTCCTTCTCTCAAATCTCTGTTCCACCATGTGATGTCATGAAGTGGTAATACAGGAAATCCTGCATCTTTTTTTTTAAACTCCATACACCTGGATGAGCTTGGCTACCATTTGATCACAAGATAAGGCAAGACAAGATAAGGGTAATTTGAGCTCTGGGGATGTAATAACACAGGATTACGTTTTATTATGTATGAATGAAACAAAACACAGCAACAGGGATGTTTTTGACGGGGTAACATTCCATCATCCACAAAGTCAATTTCAGTCAAGAAGTCAAGTAGGCCTAGTTTATCAATTTCTACCATATCAGATTGAAAATCACTGCACAATGAGACAGATGAATTGCTAATTAATGAATGGATACATGTCTATTAAACTATCAGGAGTTGGCCAAATCGCTATCACATTTATAGAACATTTGTATTATTTTTATAGTACACTCTTCAACATCAATTTCTACATGCAAGCCATCAGCCCTCCCTCCCCTGTTCTGTCTCAGAGCTCAAGGCCTCCATATCCTGCCTCCTATGCTGAGTAAATATGCTAATGCTTATCTTTGGCACATAGATAGCTGTTAATGGATCAGCAGTCCGGACAGGCTTTCATCTATATTTAATGTGGTAAATGGTCATTTAGGGGAACTTCCAGTGGAATCCAATGCCTAATTACAAAGGGAAAAACCTCTCTGTGGCAAAGTACATAATCAATAAGCAGCATATTATCAGCCCATCTCCGTATGTATCTGCTGAAATCATTTGTGTCCCAGCATGCTTTAGTCAGTGCAGCCATTAATTATTTATTTAACTGCGATTGCTCACTTCCACACACATCCTTTGCCTCTTACACACAAATGGTAGTGTCCGGAAATTGCAGCCAGCGCTGGAAGCGAAACAGTGTCATCTAAGAAGGGACGAAGACTGGAGGATCAAGGCCACATTTAATGGCTCTACTGTACCCGACTCGTTGTAAAGCAATAATGAATCACTCTATGTTGTTAAAACAATAATGATTATATATATATATATATATATATATATATATATATATATATATATATATATATATATATATATTATATATATATATATATATATATATATATATATATATATATATATTATTTTTTTTTTTTTTTTTTTTTTTTTTATCTTAACTAGCGGTTTTTACTAATTTTGTAAGCATCACTAATAAATCTGAATGTCATTGAATGTGGGTATTGTTTCTGCAGGTCTTTCATTTTGTTTATTTTGCGATTATAGAGCTACAACAGTGACCACATATGTCACTTTCATAAA